TTGTTGGGTTTTTTTCCTTTCAGATGATTATCTGGCAAGTTTTCCCAATCAATTAATTAATCTTTTATTCACGAAATGAATACTACTAATGTGTATTTATGGAGGATACAAACGATTCAATCTCTGTTGTAATTAATGTGAGAAGATAATAAAACAGATTTGGGCGTCACAGGATTTGATCACGTGACCAACTAAAAGTTCATTTCCCAGAGAACTTTTTAACATTGTTGTTTATTTTTTAAGTAAATATAAAGAATAACTGTCAGATTTTTCGATTTCTAGCGATGATCAATCGATTGGCTTGCATGATAATTTTATGCATTTATAATATGCAAATTTTGGCGTTTGAGCATAATATTATCACGCAAAGCAATCGATTGAGCACACAATGAAATCAAAAATAATACAGTTATTCTTTAAAAATAAAAGCTAAGGGAAAAGAACATATGTTTGTTATTGAAATGCACTCTAACCACTATTGAAATAATTATTTCAAGATTGGTCGTATTTCAATAGTGGTTGCATACTATGTTTGTTATTGAAATGCACTATCGACCACTACTGAGATAATTATTTTAATAGTGGTCGTATTTCAAAAGTGGTTGCATACTATGTTTGTTATTAAAATGCACTTTCGATCAATATTGACAGAAATAATTATTTCAAAAGCGGTCGTATTTCAATAGTGGTTGCATACTATCTTTGTTATTGAAATGCACTCTCAACCACTATTGATATAATTCTTTCAATAGTGGTCTTTATTTCAACAGTGGTCGCAACGGGGTCTGCAGAGTAGCGAGAATCGGGAGCAAAAATAACATATTCCTTTTACGAATCGTTTTCTGCTTTCAGGCTCATATTCTAATCAAAGTACTCAGAAGTACAGAGAGCCGGGCTCATTTTATAGAGTAGAATGGATTTCTTACATGAATCACGTTTATATTCTGATGAAAAAAATATTTTAAAACTATCAATATAAATGATAAGACACTGACAGTGAGTTTTTCAATCCTAATACCACGGTCCGATTTTGTCAGAATCAGAATTAATCTGGTACCGCATGCTGCTGAATGTAAACAAACAGGCCAGTCTGGTTCCCTCTCCTGCTTTACCTGGTAAGTGTAGAGAACTACGGTAACACTGATTATCAAAAATCTTTACGCTAATGAACTATGTTCTTTGACTTATGAAGTCTTCAAAGTCATTACTACTAATATTTATTTTATATAGATGAAACTTCGTTTTATTTTTGTTGCTTTATTTAGTGTTTGTATTATCTCAAAAGCGGTTGAGAGTAAGAACTATATTTTTGCAGGTAACTTTAAAATGGCGACTATGGGGTCAACATCCTGCCTTGAACAGGATCACATAAGCCGGCAATTGCTCTTTGAGCAATAAGCCCGGCTAAAAAGTATACGCACACCGCACAAAAGGCCATAGCATTAGTTCTTTGAGCCTTTGGCTCAGAAGAGCTAAAAACATTTGAGGTTTCATTGACAGTTTTTTTCTAATCTTTTTTTTTTTTTTTTTTTTGTTGAAAGCGGGTGCCGTTGTTTTGACTGTCCTGATATAGTTCAATGGATTATTCTATCTCTAAAAACCGTTTCTTGTTTTATATCCTTCGGTTTTTTAGACAAAATATATACTGTCGCTAGTTTCACTTTACACTTAAGAGATGTATCGAGTTGTCTTAAGACTTTGATAGATCTTAAGAACATCGTAAGATATGACAGTTTTTTTTAAAAATGGCGCAATCTTTTGAAATCTTTTGGTGCAAAGGTTTAAAAAATATGATTAAGAATGAATACATTGAGTTGAAAAGTAAATTAACAAAACAATGATACTTCTTTAAACGTTACATGTCATCTATAGACCTTAGATAGTAACACATAACTTTTAAAACATCCCCCTTCCGACCATTCAATTAAAACGTGCTAGTCAGCCATGTACATTGTATAACATATGCAGCCCGATTTCTACCATGCATAATTTTTATCAATGTCTTAATCTGAGCAAAATAAATATTCTTGGGCATTTTTAAATGCCTGTTGTTCAGATACTGAGGTAGAATTTTCTCTAACTTGCAATTGGCGTAGTGCAGTAACCCTTGGACTTCCTGTCAAGGAACTGACATTCCTGCTTTTGAAACACATGAGCTCGAAAAGTCGTTATGTAGTGTATATTTTTTTCTGTAGCCCTCCTTCTTCTTTATTTTGAAAATTTCCAATAGAGCAATGAAAATGCGTTCTTATAGTCATTTCGAGGAAATATAGGCATTGCATCCGGAAAAAAAAGAAATATTTTCCCGAATTTTAGTACAATACTTATGAACATTTACTTTGTTTTACCCTAAATAAAAAGCATTATAAAATTACAAGTGATAGATACACATTACACACAAGAAATAATCAGCAAAGTCTGCGTATGATGCAGGGACTACGCCATTACTGTTTAGACAAAGCGAAAAATGTGTCTGTTATACGACACATTTGTATTTCTTTGTTGACAAAATATGGTTTATCATCCATCCAAGATTGAAAAATCAAAGGCCTGAAGGGCCTGCTAGTTGACTTGCTTGAGTCAATTGAGCTTTTTCATACATCTGGGCACCATACCTTAATATATTTATTTTATTTTGCATCTTCAGAGATTGAATATTATATGTCTGATCCATGCTCGGTTCATAAATAAAGTGTATATTGCTTTTCCTTTATATATACAGGTAGGCACTAAAGGCCTTCCATATTATTTTGACTGGATTGATTCTATAATGAATTTAAACACATTAGCTGAAGTGGTCAGTGTTATGGAATAATTAGGTTAAAGATTCCCACAGCAAATCTGGATTCTAAAAATAGATTTTCAACAACAACTAGCTGCAGCTAATGCGAGCAGCAGGTGCTTGTGTAAGGGAGTATTCTATGTCAATTATAAATAAACTTCAGATGGGAAGATTAGATCCATCATCTAACATGCTTGAACATATATTCATACACAGTACCTAATTGCATGTACATCGTACAGATATTTAATCAAAAATTTCTTTAAAAGCATAAAGGCATAATTAATGTTTCAGTATGAAATTTTATACAGTTTTTACCTCTTAATTTTATACAATCACTCAATCCAAAGCATTTTTTGCTAGAACTATTATGTTTGGCGTATGGATCACCTTGATGAATGTGTGAGAAATTTTACAGCTCTGAAAGGGCTGTGTCAACAGGGAGTAGCTTGCTACGCAAGCCAACTCAAAAAAATAAAACTTTGATTGTTGTTATCCGTTATCATTGTGCACTATTTTAGTTTCTGGATTAAGCTGTTTCAAAGGTTGTTCTATCAGCTGCAACTTACACAGGCGGGAATTTTTAATAGAAAATCAAAATTTCGGAAAATAGAGGGGTAAAAATATAAATATAAGCATTTATTCTAAATTATCATTTTTCTGAAAAATGCAGTCTCATTATTGCAATGGTGTGTGCAAACAAATTTTCACAACGCGTTAAGGCGCGTTACTCAATTTGGTTGCACACACCATTGCAATAATGAGACTGCATCTTTCAAAAAATGATAATTCAATGCTTACTTAACAGTTACAAAAACCCTGAAAACCCAAAATGTTGTCAATAATTTTATTAAATATTTTTCAATTTTTCAGTTAAGAGGGGTAAAAAATCAATTTTCGGAAATGGAATTAAAATCATCAAACCGTTAAATCACTGATTTGGCAAAGTTAAAGATATCCTAACGTTTGATCCGCTCACATAGATGGCTACAGCGATCTGTGAGAGCGGATCAAAGGATCTGATTTTAATCAGATTGTAGCTATTATAACCCTAAAATTAAGGTGTTGCATTTCTTTGAATTTTTTTGAATTTCTTTGATGCTTACATAGAATCAGTGTTAAGCACGTTAAAGCTATCTACTATCATTTAGTTACATTTAGCCATTTTAAATCGTAAAAAGGTGCTAAAGGTAGCTAAATGGTGACTTAAGGTAATTCGACCCTCCTATGATGTCATAGGTTTTTGCAAAAACTGTAATTAGTTAAAATTCATACATTATAGAAAAATATCTCTTGGAAGAATGCTTTACAATAGGTGTAATGATAAAAATTGTTTAGTTAAAGAATCTAAAAAATGCATATTTTCTATATGTAATTAATTATTCAATCTTTAAAAAATGTTGACAAGGGCAATAATTCCTTCTAAGGTCTCTTCATTCAGGCATTTGCTTTACTGTAAAATAGTTTACCTGATAATCACAATTCAAAAGTATCTTTTAAGTAGGAAGTATTTAGGAACACTCAGCATCAGAATTATGCATTTTAACCTGTTTTTACATATTTTTCTCAATACTGTTTCCAAAAATGTATATTTTTTATGTTGACATACACTTTTGTTTATTTATGTTTCGCATCTTTAATAATATGGTGACCTATACATTTTTTTGCAATAAATGGAAAGTTTAAAGTATATTGAATGAAAATAAATGCAGTTTTTATATTTTGAACCTATAAAATTGTGAGGGTGGAAATTCCTTAAAGATGGCTTATAGATATAGGTAATTAATGTTGGCCATGATATTGTAATTATTCCTAGTTTCAAACTTATATTCTGAAAATAAGTTCCTTCTTTTTTTATTATATTTTAAAACAATAGAACATGTACAGTGATTTCTAAATCAGTACATATACATTTTTAATGAAACTACAAATTATAGGACATAAGGCAAAAAAAAAATTAATTTCTTGGTTCTCAGGCCCTCCCTCATCTCTTCCAAGGGTGCCTCATTGACCCTTTTTATTGCTAAATCAATAAAATATAAACACCAATCACCTCCCTCATCATTTTTTGAGGTTTTGTACAATGTAAAAAGGTGCCTCATCATGTTTTGGGGGCAATAAAAAAGAAAAAAAAAAAATGCCTCCCTCCATCATCATATTTCTTGAAAAAAGGCCTGAGAACCAAGTAATTAACTTTGCATGGCCTAAATACCCTGAAAGGGGATACTAGTAATGAAATTCTGTATAGTGTATGAAATTTGATGAGACTATCATGAAAAATTTCATTAAATTTGATATTTAACAGTTTCTTTAAAACTAAATATAAGCAAAATGTAAATTTTGGAAAAATAAGATCAAAGTCAAGGTCATAGAAAAGGCCAAGGTCAAACTTTTTGATGCAGTTGAATAGTTTTCATAAATGTGTATCAGCATACTTAAAAAGTTTAATAAAAATATTTTGTATTATGGCTTATTCAAAACAGAGCTAAACAGTGAGATAAGGTTAAAGGAAAATAAATGTTGATGAAGCTAACATTCGTATGAATCAGCATTTGAAGTTTGAATAAATATTATGACTGGTTTCTTTAAAAAGAGTTGAACAAAGTGAGGTAAAAAAAAATCAAAATCAAAATTTGTTGATGCAGATGAAAAGCTCTCATCAGTATGTTTCACCATATGAAGTTTGATAAAAATATTCTGAAAGAGTTCCTTAAAACTGAAAAAAAAAACTTTTTTAAAAAAAGTAAGGTTTAGGTGATAGGAAAGGTCAAGGTAAAAAAAAAGTTGATGAAACTGAGTTGCTCTCATCAGTATGCATCAACATATGAAGCTTGATAACAATATCTTGAATAGTTTCATTGAAATTGAGCTAAACACAAAGCACAATGGAAGGATGGAACACAATCAGGACAAACACTATATGTCCCATATTCATGGAGGGGCATAAATATTACATAGACATGGTTAATTTCAATTTTACTTTCTGAGGGGGTGTCCATTGTTAACAAAATATTGCACATTTTGATAAAGTTTTTATATCTCCTTTATTTAAGTGAACTGTCATGCTTTTGGTCTCTGCTATTCAGAATTACGGAATAAATGTCCTGACTGTGCCCCTGATCTCGGCCCTACATATAGGGCACTGCCTGGCAGCGGGAACATACGTCACTTAAGTACAGAATTATGGAATAAATGTCCTGACTGTGCTCCTTATCTCTGCTCTACATATGGGGCACTGCCTGACAGCAGGGACACATGTCAACTCAGTACAGAATTACGGAATAAATGTCCTGACTGTGCCCCTGATCTCGGCCCTACATATAGGACACTGCCTGACAGCGGGGGCACACATCACACAGCAGCAGAGGTGACCGCACGGGAGAAACACCATCCCCACCTCAGCGTCCAGACAGATCTTACACGTCTTCTGCTCCCTAAGGAGGCGATTCTCCTCCACCAGGTCTAAATATAGAGACAGATATAAATAAACTCAGGTCACATCAGCCAGGTCTAAATATAGAAACGTATAAATAAACTCTGGTCAGGAGGCGATTCTCCTCAACCAGGTCTAAATATAGAAACAGATATAAATAAACTCAGGTCAGGTCTAAATAAAGAAACAGATATAAATAAACTCAGGTCAACCAGGTCTAAATATAGAAACAGATATGAATAAATAAACTCAGGTCAGGAGGTGATTCTCCTCAACCAGGTCTAAATATAACAAGAGGCCCAGGGGCCACAGCGCTCACCTGAGCACATCGGCTAGGAAAAAGCACATATCAGATCAGAACTGAAGGTTAACTGAAGTTGGGGGGGGGGGGGGGCTTGAATTTAAACACCAACCCAAGGGGATCATAATTTGAACGACCTAGCTTCTACATTACCTGAGGATGATTCCATATAAATATTACTAATCATGGCTTTGAAGTACTTGAAAAGAAGATTTAAAAAGGTTTTCCTATATATTCCTATGTCTTTGATCGGCCATTTTGGCCCCGTCCTACCCCCGGGGGTCATGACTTGAACAAACTTGCATCTACACCACCTGAGGATGATTTCACATGAGTTTCATCTTTTTAGATTTTTTAAAAATGTCATCAATTTTTCTCTAATTCATGATTATCTCCCCTTGGAAAAGGGCGTGGCCCTTCATTTGAACAAACTTGAATCCCCTTTACCCAAGGATACTTTGTGGCAAGTTTGGTTGAAATTGGCCCAGTAGTTCTTGAGAAGAAGATGAAAATGTGAAAAGTTTACGACAACAACATACAACGGACAAATTGTGATCAGAAAAGCTCACTTGAGCTAAAAACAAATATAAAGTAAACTCAGTGTGTAAAAAATATTTTCTGGGCACCATATATATAGAGACCATAAGATCCAAAGTACATGTATATTTATTATTATTTATGAAATGTAAAGAACAAAAATATAAAAATAAATTTTAAGAGAATTGAAGTTATAATCCAACTTTGTACGAAAGATATGATCTTGACGTGATAACTGTAGAAATTGAAAGAGGGGTGAAAGTTACAGTTTTCAATTATGGCACACATTATTGTAAGCTCCAAAATGAAATAAAGTGTATTACCTTTTGATCCGCCAGTGGAGGATGAGGGCTCCTCTACAAAAGATAAGAAGAGGGTTATTAAAGCAAAGATGTCTTAATGTTGGCTTGGGACCCAATGGTTTGTATATGCTTGTCTGTAAGGCTTAAGCTTGATTTTGTATTCATAATTATGTTTTTCAGGAAGGGGAGGGGGTGTTACAGTAAAATTTGTATTCAGTATCTTGGCACCAGAAGGTATATTTATTATAAGGAGTTTCAAGCTCTATGCATTTTACCTGATTTTTTTTTTACCTGACTACTATTACTGGGTGTTGGTGCCCGCGGTGGAGTGCGGGTGTATTACCTGTATTACCTGAGGACTGACTGGTATTACTGGGTGTTGGTGCCCGGGGTGGAGTGTGGGTGTATTACCTGTATTACCAGAGGACTGACTGGTATTACTGGGTGTTGATGTATTACCAGAGGACTGACTGGTATTACTGGGTGTTGGAGCCTGGGGTGGAGTGCGGGTGTATTACCTGTATTACCAGAGGACTGACTGGTATCACTGGGTGTTGGTGCCCGGGGTGGAGTGCGGGTGTACTCGGGGAGGACAGGTTCCTGGGAGGCGACATTGAGGACCTCAGGCTCCTCCTCCAGAGTTAGGACAGCATTCAGTAGGGCCTCAGCCGAGGGGTAGTCATCTCCTGTAGTAGTGAGATATACAATAAACATGTCATTATAATTACAGATAAACAGAGGTCAGCATTCAGTAGAGACTCAGCCGAGGGGTAGTCATCTCCTGTAGTAAAGGATTGTTAATTCTTATGAAACTCAGCTAATAAAAAATTTTATAATTAAAGTCATGATAAACAATAAAGAGAGAGGATGGCTTCTTTCTATGATCAGCATCAAGCTGTTCAGATATACCCACTACCTGTTTCCCTCTGTCATCTTTCTATGATCAGCATCAAGCTGTTCTGATATACCCACTACCTGTTTCCCTTTGTCATCTTTCTATGATCAGCATCAAGCTGTTCTGATATACCCACTACCTGTTTCCCTCTGTCATCTTTCTATAATCAGCATCAAGCTGTTCAGATATACCCACTACCTGTTTCCCTCTGTCATCTTTCTATGATCAGCATCAAGCTGTTCAGATATACCCACTACCTGTTTCCCTTTGTCATCTTTCTATGATCAGCATCAAGCTGTTCAGATATACCCACTACCTGTTTCCCTCTGTCATCTTTCTTTGATCAGCATCAAGCTGTTCAGATATACCCACTACCTGTTTCCCTCTGTCATCTTTCTATGATCAGCATCAAGCTGTTCAGATATACCCACTACCTGTTTCCCTCTGTCATCTTTCTATGATCAGCATCAAGCTGTTCAGATATACCCACTACCTGTTTCCCTCTGTCATCTTTCTATGATCAGCATCAAGCTGTTCAGATATACCCACTACCTGTTTCCCTCTGTCATCTTTCTATGATCAGCATCAAGCTGTTCAGATATACCCACTACCTGTTTCCCTCTGTCATCTTTCTATGATCAGCATCAAGCTGTTCAGATATACCCACTACCTGTTTCCCTCTGTCATCTTTCTATGATCAGCATCAAGCTGTTCTGATATACCCACTACCTGTTTCCCTCTGTCATCTTTCTATGATCAGCATCAAGCTGTTCAGATATACCCACTACCTGTTTCCCTCTGTCATCTTTCTATGATCAGCATCAAGCTGTTCAGATATACCCACTACCTGTTTCCCTCTGTCATCTTTCTATGATCAGCATCAAGCTGTTCAGATATACCCACTACCTGTTTCCCTCTGTCATCTTTCTATGATCAGCATCAAGCTGTTCTGATATACCCACTACCTGTTTCCCTCTGTCATCTTTCTATGATCAGCATCAAGCTGTTCAGATATACCCACTACCTGTTTCCCTCTGTCATCTTTCTATGATCAGCATCAAGCTGTTCAGATATACCCACTACCTGTTTCCCTCTGTCATCTTTCTATGATCAGCATCAAGCTGTTCTGATATACCCACTACCTGTTTCCCTCTGTCATCTTTCTATGATCAGCATCAAGCTGTTCAGATATACCCACTACCTGTTTCCCTCTGTCATCTTTCTATGATCAGCATCAAGCTGTTCAGATATACTCACTACCTGTTTCCCTCTGTCATCTTTCTATGATCAGCATCAAGCTGTTCAGATATACCCACTACCTGTTTCCCTCTGTCATCTTTCTATGATCAGCACCAAGCTGTTCTGATATACCCACTACCTGTTTCCCTCTGTCATCTTTCTATGATCAGCATCAAGCTGTTCAGATATACCCACTACCTGTTTCCCTCTGTCATCTTTCTATGATCAGCATCAAGCTGTTCAGATATACCCACTACCTGTTTCCCTCTGTCATCTTTCTATGATCAGCATCAAGCTGTTCTGATATACCCACTACCTGTTTCCCTCTGTCATCTTTCTATGATCAGCATCAAGCTGTTCAGATATACCCACTACCTGTTTCCCTCTGTCATCTTTCTATGATCAGCATCAAGCTGTTCAGATATACCCACTACCTGTTTCCCTCTGTCATCTTTCTATGATCAGCACCAAGCTGTTCTGATATACCCACTACCTGTTTCCCTCTGTCATCTTTCTATGATCAGCATCAAGCTGTTCTGATATACCCACTACCTGTTTCCCTCTGTCATCTTTCTATGATCAGCATCAAGCTGTTCTGATATACCATCTACCTGTTTCCCTCTGTCATCTTTCTATGATCAGCATCAAGCTGTTTTGATATACTATCTACCTTTTTCCCTCAGTCGTCTTTCTATAACCAGCAATAAGCTGTTCTGATCTACCCCCTACATGTCTTTCTATGACCAGCATCAGGCTGTTCTGATATACCCCCTACCTGTTTCCCTCAGTCTTCTTTCTATGACCTGCATCACACTATTGCGATCAACTCCTGTTTCTAAAACTGCTCGAACCATTGGCAGTTCCATGCGAGCTCGGATTTCTCTGGCTTCTACTTGATGACCTGTGAAACATATTGATGACATATAAACAAACTGTACTCCCTATTTAAGACAAGTAATGCACAAATATACATAATCATGTGTAATACAATGTTTCTCTGAACCCCAACCCTAAAGATCAAATTACCTGCATGTAAAAAAATTTTAAAACCATAAAATTTTACAATTACTGTACATTAATTGTATACAGTGAAATCATTTTATTTCATTTGTTCAATATTCCTGAGCAATCAAAACTTTCACTGGATCGACAAAATTACATGAGTAACTTGTAAATTAAATAAACACATATATAGGCAAAAATAAAACTCACAGGAATTTTAACTTGTGTGTAACAGATATATTGGCAAAAATAAAACTCATAGGAATTTTAACTTGTGTGTAACAGATATATTGGCAAAAATAAAATATATTTTAATTGTGTGTAACAGATATATTGGAAAAAATAAAACTCATAGGAATTTTAACTTGTGTGTAACAGATATATTGGCAAAAATAAAACTCATAGGAATTTTAACTTGTGTGTAACAGATATATTGGAAAAAATAAAACTCATAGGAATTTTAACTTGTGTGTAACAGATATATTGGCAAAAATAAAACTCATAGGAATTTTAACTTGTGGGTATGGAAGACCCATTAATTGAAATCAACAAAACATTGGTTCAACATACACAGTAATGATTCAACAGTATTTGTCATACTTAAAATCTTTTGAAAATGTTCCTGTGTAAAACTGATTGAGTCAACAAGATTAAGAGTGTTTCTCAGGCTAGAATAAAGCAGAATTACCAGAAGTAGTCTGGGGTCGATTAAATCTTTCCTGCACATTGCGTATAAACTGGTCTCCCTTCACAGTGCGAACGAACGAACATCGGGGGAACCAGCGAGCGTGCTCTACCCAGGGTTCATCACCGGGTTCCCAGTTACGTAGTCCGCCATCGCAATAAAAACACTTCACATTATCTCCAAACCCTGTAGATATAATAAGCACTGTCATTGGTCAATATCTTACATAAGATGGTCTGTCATTGGTCAGGGTCCTAAATTAGAAGTAAATTTGTTATTGAATAGTTCTTTAGAAGATCTTCCAGTATAACTAGACTTAGACTAACTTAGCTACAATAATGTAGCCCTCTCCCTTTTCAACAGGTAAAAAAAATCGGAGAGCGCTACATTATTGCAGCTAAGACTAGCTCTGGTTTTCAAATTAATTTCCATGGGGATCAAATTTTGTGGTTTTGACAAAAAATATACATGTAATTTCATCCATTTCATATCTAAATTTGTGGATGACTACGTCTTCCTATTTCATAAAATAAATCAACTAATTTCTTGGTCTGGCTCAACCAGATAAATAACAAATTAAACTTAGTGTTTAACAAAAAATTAGGAAGTTACCGTCTGTTGTGACAAACATACGTGTAGGCAATACACTTAACATTACTTTACATTGTGTTAAAATATACTTAGAGGTAAATATGAGTTTTACAAGTTGCTAAAAATGTAGTGTGCATAAGTGAAAAAAAGAAATGAAATACATGTAATAGCTCTAAATCAATGTTTTATACATCGATAAAACAAGATATGATCTATAAAAACAGCAAAACTCAGAACAAGTTTATAACGAAGTCACTGGGACCTATGAAATTTCTTTGCTATATCCGTAATTTGTTATAACCGTATAATTTATTCATTAAATTTATATAGCTGGGGATCTAAGATGACTTTGCTTTATCCGTGAATTCACAATATCCGTGTTCTTACTAAACAAGTATTCCTGTACATGTAATAGATCTAAATCAATATTGTATACCTGCATAAAAGAAGCCAGCGGCGGCCAGTTGTGGGGGCGTCTGATGCTTGTACTGAGGCCAGTTATTGAATGAAGACAAACGTGTGCTTTCCACTGCGAAGTTTCCGTGTCGGGGGCGGTCAGTGTTAATCCCGAGGGCCTCCATGTTACCCAGGGGTGCATTGTTTAGATTTCCCCCCACGTTGACCCTCTGGGCTGGCTGGGCTGGGGTCATTCGGACATTTCCGACGTCCACCCCCAAGAGAAACGGACAGCGGGGAAATTTGTTTTTGTGCTCGATGTGTGGTTTGTCGCCGACGTCCCAGTCGCGGAGAATTCCACGACAAAAAACACACTGTACTCGGTCTCCCGTACCTGTAAGTAAACAAGTCTCTGATTATTTTAAAATGTACATGTATGTAATATGATGGACTGTTATAATCTAGATGTACATATATAATGTACTAGAAATTTATCGGTTGTTATCCCAGTTTGGGGGTCTAAAGAAAAAAATATATCAAATACATTTTGTCATCATAAAAGTTTGGGAGGATGTGTATTTTTCAACAGGCAAATCCTGTAGATTGGAATTTATTTTAATCATTAGGCTTATGGCAAAATAAATTTTCAGCCCAACCAATACCTTGTTAAGCCAGTAAGAGTTACTTCCCTTGTTAACACAACACTGTAAAACCTTTGACCTTTAATAATAATAAATGATACAAAGCCTTTGTTACATGTTGTTAACTCTAAAGTATCAGCAAAGAGTAACCACTAACCATAGTATAGCCCTCCCCCTTTACCTGTGTATATAAATCCTGAGCTAGCTAAATCTCTAGGGAGAACATGGGCTGAGGCTGGGAAATTCCTGAATGTTTCCAGACGATTTCTCTCATAACGCAGGAAGCTGGGGTCGCCCTCTAGTGATTGAGGTTGTGTGGAGGTAGCCTCGTTCTGGGAAGAGGGAATTCCCCCACTCAGGGTCTGGGGGAGACTGGGTGTGGCAGCCTGAGGACCTGTTATTGACCAAAATGTAGAATTTAGTTTAAATAGAAATATATAGTTAAGTCATACTACAGTATTTAGTTAAATAGTAACATACAGTAAAGTCATACAGTATTCTACAGAATTCAAAGTTAACACGGTAATAAAATGACAGTTGTGCATATTACATGTAATTCTATACAAACACTATTTTGTCTTTATCATTTTATTTGAATCAAGTCATTTAAAAAAAAAACAATACCTGACAATCCCAAGCTGAATCTCTGAGGAGGCTGTTCCACTGACCCTCCCTCCTGGCTGTTCCCTCTACCTCCCCGGTTTTCCTGGCTGTTCCCTCTACCTCCCCGGTTTTCCTGGGATCCAGTTGACCCCAGTGAGGAATCTCTGGATCTGCTTCTCGTTAAACCACTGGATCTGGGTGACGAATCCGAGACGTGACTCATGATTGGTCGATCTCCTGAGAATTCTGGGACACGATCTCTATCTCGCTCCACGTGGCTCTCGCTGAGCAAGTGAATTATCTTATTGAAACACGAAGGAAGTGGTTCTTCCACTAAATTGCTATAAACGGGAATATTGTTAGTTTGTGCAGAGTTTGACAACAATGGACAGTTAGCGTTCAGCTTTTGGTGAACCAGGCTAGGCTGATCGCCTGGGGACCAGTTTTCTTTTTCTACGCGACAGAAAAAGCACTTCACTCTGTCTCCCTCGCCAGAGTAAAAAAATCCAGCCTCGGCGAGTCTGATGACAAAGACCTCGGCGGGCCAGTTTCTGAATGTGTAGAGACGAATCAGCTCGCTGTTACACAGCTTTATCAGATCAGGGTCAGAAATATGGAGGCTTTCTAAATTATGAATCAGTGCTTCTTCCATCCTCGCAATTCACAAGTCATTTTTGTTTGTTCCCCATAAAATTACAATGCACTTTCAAAGCAAAGCCATTTACATATAATTAAGGACAAGAATTCCTAAAGCTGATTTTGTGGAACAGGGTATAACAAATTATAATTGTCACTTGTATTGTGGTGACTGGTAAAAAACGAGTTCTTTGTGCAGTGACACCTGTGTTTTCCTACAGTACGGGAATCTCGCTTTGGATTAATCCAAACCTCCTTCTCTTGTAGCCTCTTTCTGATAAGTGACCCAGTTATCCCAGGCAGACAGTACGTTTCCGAGAAAACCTTTACGGGAACAATTCTCTTAGAACAATTATTTTGTTTACGATACGAGTTTTCTGCGTCTATGGCTAGCAGGCACAACAATGCAAAGGAAGCAAATAAAGCAAATCTGGAGAATCTTAAACGTGAAATAGATTTTCTCAACGACAATTTCTCTGTGATCAATAAAATTTGCCTCTGACTTTCTGACAATAATTCTCTTAATTCAAACGTCTTAAACAACTCAAACGAAGAACAAGTCAGAATTTCGTAAGAATTTCCACTTCTTTGTAAATGAGCCTTAACAACTAGCTGTCTCCTCCTTAAATGATTTGTAAAGATTGGTTCAGGATATATTTGATGTCTGTCAGTTTTCGAATAACAAGAAAACAGAGGCAAGTTTTGGAAGGAAGAGCTTATCTCCCCTTCCAAGTCTTTCAAACTCACAGGTGGATCTAAGTTTCTCTCGGGGTGGATGTTGGAGAATTCGGGTCGACAACTCTCTGTATTTGGTGGAGTTATCTCCTCTTTCTCCACTGGTTCACCACAAACTGGTTCTACGTTTTGAAAGCTTGGAGATGATTGGTCAATCCATGGAATGGTCATTGTGATATAAATGGTTCTCTTGGTAAATGGACACATTCATATTTAGATTCCTAAAACAGACATACAGGTTAATATTAATTATGAATTTCTGAAGATGTAAATTTAATATGTATTCTAGCATGAAAATGTATGAGAGCGGGCCAGATTCAAACCCTGCTCCCTAGATCACTCAGTAGGTGTGTTACCCGCCTGGCCTATTTGGCCACCAGCTACATGTATTAATCTTGCCTCTCTCAAATTTTTTTCCCCAATGACAACATTTTTCTTGTCCTTAGACTAAATACTGAGATAGTGACAGACAGCCTGCCAGGAAAGTGTCTGAATGTGTGTCTTTTGCTTGAAGGGAATGCCAAGTACTTGCTGCTACCAGATAGATCATACTAGGTTGGTAAAGCAGCTCATATAATACTGTATAGTGTTATTTTCACCCTTTCATACATGCGAATATTTTTGCTACGTTTTAAATTTGCCTAGTCATGGTTTTGTTTAAGAATTTATACTGTTTTTTTTTTTTTTATTTGCCCCATTTTAAATTTTCCCAAATGAGGGTAGGGTGAAAGGGGTAAAAATGTGTACAGTATGATTTTTACATGAAATACATGTTACAACTTTGTTTCATTTACATATATGGATTACTAGTCTAATATTATATATTGCCAAACCCCCTAACTCTGTAACCTGTGGAAAAAATTGTCAATACATATACTGGCATATTTTGGAAGGATAAAAGGTGATATGATTTGAGAGGTAATCTGAAGGTGCTTACAAAATGTACACTAACATGACAATATAGTATCAAACGCACTCTCTAATTCTATTTTTTGTGGTTTAAAAACAAGCAAACAAGAAACAAATCAAAATATAATTTTGATACAATAATAATGATACATTTCAATTGAATTAACAATGAGAATCTAAAAATAACAAGTTTATCATGTTTATTACTATGTAGAATGTGCAGCAAACAAGAAACAAAATCAAAATATAATTTTTATACAAAAATAATGATACCATTGAATTAACAATGAGAGTCGAATATGTTCATAATCAATATTCATATATCAATATTGTGAGTTAGATGAGAAAGGGTGGTGAATCATTCACATTAATTATGAATGGCATCTTTCCAAAAATCCCAAATACACTTTGTTCAATCATTCTAAGATATTGATACGAGGCTGCACAAAAAAAAATTATGAAGGCAGTCTTTAATAATCTAAATTAAAATATCATAACTCGGTTACAATTACAAGTGTTCATTTATAACTCGACTCGAGGAAAAAATCGGGAAATCCCCTCAAAAGCCTTACAACTTTCGTTTTAACAGTGGATGACCCTTGAGCCTCTCTGTTTAATGCATAAAAACCTAAAATTCCTTTTCTCTCTTCATCTCATACCTTTCTACATGGATCTTATGTGCATATCTGCAGCAACTGTCTGGAATCAAAGGAACAATGAAAAATTGTCTCAAGAGAATCCAAGAAGAGTGCAGGCGAGTGGAAAACGCACAACGAGCCCGAGATGATCCGAACGGCTACAAAAAAGAACATCGAACCCGATGACTATTATGCCGTGAAGCTTGGTCGTATATATGTATGCGTTAAAACTTCAAATTTTAATTTAGGTGATACTTATGACTGTGTTATTAATGATAATTTAAGATATTCAAAGCTATTTTTACAACGAAATCCAAAAAGTATTGATATTAGAAAGATTTTTTTTCAAATAATCATTTTCAGGGAAAATGAGGATACATATGCATATAATAGATATTTTTCAATTATGATCAAAACATCTTATTATACTGGCTTGCAAAAGCGGGAGGGTATAAAGCATATACAGAAAATATTAACCTTAATCAAGGCAATATTAACTGCTGGTACAAAAATGTAATTTATTATAGTAAGAAAATTAATCTCTCATTACCAGAATGTAAAACATACAAAAACACATTTTTAAAAAAACAAGTTAAGAAACATTTGAAAAAACACTCCTCTTAAATTGGAAAATGAGTGAAATTTAATGAAACTTTCTTATTTTATGTTTAAAGAAAATTTTATTGGAAAAATATATGCCATTGTGCACCTCCTATTTTATTTTTTGATGAAAAACAGAATATTTTGGGTTTCCTTAGATAGAAACAAAAGAATATGCCATGTGTAACCAAAACAATATAGAAGATGAATATCATTTTCTTTTGCCATTATAATCATATGGGAGGAGAGATAAATTTTTTAGTGAGCTCATTGCTCACAGTACCTCTAGTTTATTATACATGTATGTCTCTGGAAAAATGGTAATCATTTTCAGGGAAAATGGTTTAAAAGTGTAAAATTTTCTTGTTCATAAATAATGTTATGCCACAATTGATTTTTATGGCATATATGTATAATAATTTTGATTTTGATTGCATGAAATTAACAATTTGATAACCCCAACTGCTGAAAAGTGTCCAGGTATAATATTATATCAGATATATACATGTGTGTGTATGTGTGTTCATGTTTGTATATGTTTACTATAACCTTTCTTTTATCCGCAACTCCTCTCATACCAATGAATGAAATTTGATGAAACTTTCACAGAATCTTCATTACATATTGCCATTGTGCTCCTCCTGCTTTACTTTTTGATCGGACACAGAATTTGGGTTTTCCAAAGCAAAACATAGACACTGCCATTATATTCATAAAAAAGGCGCTCGGTTCTAGATTTATTTCTCCATGTTTTTAAAAGTGAGCTCATTACTCACAGTACCTCTAGTTTTTAATAGAAATCTGTCCTCAAAATATCAAGCAGCAATTTATTTTTACTAGTAATGAAGTTAATAATTTTGAGTTCGGTGAAAATGTGTTTAATTTGCCCTAAAAAAAAACAATGAAATGGATCAACAGATTAAAAAAAAACCAAAGCATAGATTCTCTGTAATTCATATGTCTACGTTTATCATTTGCATTTAATTTCAGAAAGCTAGCATAAATATTTTAATTACTGATGCATTTCTGTTATTTCAAGAGACAGTGTCTATTTTAAGTAACAATCCTTACAAAAGAAGACCCGATTTACCTCAAAATTTACACAGATCTGGAATCAAGGACAAATACTTAATTTTAAAAGATTCTGAGAAGCTTTAACGAGATCTGTATAGCTACATATGTATAACTTCGTTATTTTCATACATGTAGCATGTTATGGACCTAAACCCTAACCAATATAGATATCAGATATCCAGGTTACTAGAAGGATTAAATTAAACAGAAAAATTATCGAAACAAAGATTTATTCATGAAAATCTAAGGTTCAATTATCTGTATACATGTAGAGATTTATCTCTCTCTCTCTCTCTAATCAAAGGTGTCCTATCTCAAACCAAACTCTCACAGTCCAAAATAATCATAAGATTTTGTAAGTAAAAAAAAGTGTAAGTTTGTTTTTCCTAAAGTTTAACTATAGTCATAGAGTGATATAAATTATTTTAGGTTCTATATTTTAATGAAACGTGAAGATATATATTTTGTCTGTTTTTCTTTTTTTTATTTTAGTATTGGAGTGTACCTTATGTCGCAGAAAATGATATATAACAAAAACACTAATCGAACACAGACACTATACAGGTGATAAGTCTCAAACAACGCAAGAAGATTCGTTATTGAAAAAGAGAAGGGAGGGATACTTGAAAGACTTTGTGACGAGCAACAAGAAAAAGAAATTTACAAACTTTAAATCCTATTCCGTTGATTCGAAGTTGTTTTATAATCCTATTTTATTTCATTAAATACATTTCTATCGGAACTGAGCAAAGAAAAAGATGATGGAAGTTGGAAAATCAGTTTTTCAATAAACATTTGCAGTTACTGTAGTAAAATGTATGTTTTGGGCATAAAAGCTTTGGGGACCCCCCCCCCTCCCCCTTAAAGATGCTATACACATGTAGGGGCTATAAAAGACATGTTGTGTTTTAATGTGGAATTTACAAAATGTTAATTTTAATGCATATCGAAGGGACTTCCCTATCAACAACATGATATACTTGTTGATGAGTTTGATTTTAAAATGGTTTCAATCAAAATAAAACAACATCAAGGTTCACACATTCAAATTTATGGCTTCTATGATGAAGATTTGTTTTGGAGTGGGGCATTTCCTGAAATGTCAGTCCTGGGGGGTCATGAATCAACACGCTGTTGTTACCAAGGGTCCTTCGGTAATGCCATGCAGTGACTGACGGGACCCCGGCCTGGCATTGCGGGGTAATCAAACATCTTTCTTCCCTTGACGAGTTTACTTGTCTTTTTTTTTTAAATTCTTTTGACCGATATATCTTAATTCTTCAACCATGAAGACGAAGAAGGATATGATATATTCAAAAAGCAAATTAAAGCATGCTTTATTCATGTTATTTGTGGGTGTTTTTTTTTAACTGGGGGAAGAGGGTCGACATATTAAGTGCTGCATATAGTTTTAGTTCAACTTTTGGTAACGTGTAATTTAATTATATGCTTAATACAAGACTGGACAGTTATAAAAACTTTTTTGATTTGTCAACATGCAGCAGATTCACGGTGGATGAAGAATTTGCGCATTGTTCTGATCTGAAGATTTAAGTTTACAGATCTAAGTATTGATTATTGTAAAATCTTGAACCTTTGTCTAATGTAAATAGCATGTTTGAATGTTATTGATACACTCCAAGTGGTAGTAAAGGCGATTTGGTGTAAATCTCCCTCCCCAAAGCGTTTATTTCAGGTGATTTAAACCCCGACAGACAAAACGTTTTGGCAGTAGAGTTTATTTTGGAGTGTCGACATGCCGGACATAACAGGAACTGAGCATTTGTGAAGAAGAAATGCCCTTCATTGTCAAACCATTCATCATAAAATACATGAACGATTCAGACTCGAAATGTAAAGGATGTAAATCAAAAATCGGGTCGGGCTCGCTTGTCCTCGGTTACGTGGCGGATCAAGGACCCGACAAACGTGTGAGGTGTCTAACGAGCTGGTTTCACTATAAGTGTTTCTGGACGTTGTGTGTGTACAAAAATCATCTTCGGGGCGTGGACCCAGAAACTCTCAACGAAATTGTGTTTGGAATTAACGGATTATCAAAAGCTGACAAATTTAATTTCCAAAACGAGGCCAGCAGCCCGCCAGCTTCCACGCGCAGACGCTCAAGTAGAACATCTGAGAGTAATATCATCGCAGCAAAGGATGTCGGGAGTGTAGAAAGTGGCGATTACGAAGTAAATGAAAACGTGTTTGATTTGTCGGACCTGGTATGTGCTACTGTGTACAAACACCAAACTAATGTATTTGTCAGCATACGAGAATTCTTCCTGCTCAAGGGATCCAACGTTGCAAAACCTTCAAAGAGAGGAATTTCTTTAAACAAACATCAGTGGCGAGAACTGTGTTCGATTCAAAATGGAATCGAGGCGGCTACAAAAATAATGGCCGCTAGAGATTCGAAATCTAAAGATGCAAAAGGAAAAGATAAGAAGAGTAGGGGAGATAATTCTGAAGAAGAAGAGGAAGACGGCCCTGGTAAGCCATGCATTAAAGAGCTCTACTTCCGGTTACACATTAAAGATTTGTAATAATCGGTCGTGTTCGATAGAATTCATAAGAATTAAACTGATAAATTTGGTTTTGCATGTTCACAAAAGACGGTTGTCAAAAGCTAAAAGTAAGTATTTATGACTACACGGGGTGTATTTTGTGTGTCTGGAGTTAAGTAGCTGCAGATCTGTAGCTCGCCGGTCTGAAAAAAGGACTTGTCGTCCATCCCAAATTTTTGAACCAGCGAGCTACAGATCTGCAGCTAGTATAGTGGGAATTAATGGTTTGATTTGAGTCCGGGGTTAAAATATAGATCTAGCTGATCAGGTGTCGGTTAGAATCTTTTTGGTAAACATATAATTATGAATTCAAGTACCGTAAGTCTTTTAATATTACTCTTGAACATAAACCTTTAATTGTACATGTAGTAGAAATGTGCATCAGGCTGTCTATCAGGTGGTGCCTATATGACGTACATATAATTTTCGTTTTTCATGAGATGACGTCAGTGATCAGATGATAGGATAAATTATATTTGTCGAAATTCTTTGGGAAGACTTAATTTTTATACATATGTTGAGAATGATTTTTTTCTAAGTTGACCAGCAGGTATTTATTCGTTTTCCTTGTTTTTAGGACAGATTTTATTTTCGTTGTCATGGAAGCGGCGAGTGAGTGTTTATCAGCACCAGGAAGAAGTGATCGTAGACATTCGGGAATACTCGGAAGATCGAACATTCCAGAGGTCAACCAAAGGTGTGGCCCTTAGTAAAGCTCAGTGGACAAAACTCCGAGAGGAAATGCCCAATATAGAGGCCCTAGTACAGCATATGGAAGTGTGATCCAAGTTACGCATGCGCATTTCCTTCAGTCTGCACAGAATGGAAATCCAAGTGGATTTTTCTTGTTTGCATTCATTTTGACGTGTTAAAGAAATATTGCCTTCATTAGTGCTCCGCCTTTGTGAATTGGAGTGAACCCCACAGTATTCATACTTATATTGAAATTAATATCAAATTGAACTTAAACCCATTTTACTTGAGTGGCAGTCTTATTAATGTCTCAGTATTCATACATGTATACACAAGAAACAAATCACAATTCTTAAACAAGTAAAAGAGAATTGTCTGTTTTATTATATAAAAAAAGACATCATTATGGTTTTCACTCTCTTTTGTCACACTTCAAATCCGAAGCCCCGGCGTTGGGACGATCCCTCATTGTTCAACGGCTCTGATAACCGCCCGAGAATAACTGAATCCACATTTTTCAAAAGTTATGTCCCTTGGCCGCCATCGTCGGGGATAAACCCATACAATCCCCACAGTAACCTTTGTTGTTGTCAGATTTGTAACTTGTGTCATTTGAATGGACTTTAAAAAAGCTCTTCTTTTTATGTACTGAGTGATTGCCCCAGGATGGGACGACCCACACATTGAAAGAAAAAAAATTAAATCACAATGGACTTATCAGAGCACGCCCAAAAGTTTGGTAGCATAAAGAGGAGAAATGACTTTTCTTTCCTTCTTGACCTTTTGGTTGACCCCGCAAAGGGACACAACTTTTGTAAAGTGTGGATTGCACTATAGATCCAAGCCCTTTTCTAGTGACGTCACTAAACGAGTGAAAAATCACGAAATGGACTTGAAACAACATATCATAAATAAATCAATCTCACAAATTGATAAACATGCGTCTGTTATCGATCTTCTGCGTTTAAACAAGAAAATTCATGATCACTGAGCAGTAGGCCAACGTCTGCCATGACACGCTGCATCCGGGTCTTATCCGAAAGATTCGCAACTTTCATGACTTCTAACTGCGCTTGGAATAGAAACAGTTGAGTACCACTATTTTCATTATCGACCTTTGTCAGTCGTAGCGGAAATTCGACATTGTGTTCTTCACAGTTATCATTTTTTTTTTTTATTTAATGTCCCTGTCGAGAAATATTTTACTCAAATGGAGAACCAACCCTCTGCTGACGGAGGGCTGCAAATCTATACTCGGCACTTAGAGCCATTGAGTAGACTGAGGGGTCGGACCTTTTTCGTGTCAACACTTACTCTGACACGGGACCTCGATATACATGTACATTATCATACGATCCCACCAGAAGGACCGGTCTCCACGTCTCGCAGTGGATTCGAACCCGCAACGTGAATATAATGACCAGGGAGACTTTTTTCTTTTTTTACCAAAGAACTTACGACGAAGACTTCAATCTCAGTTGATTGTAAAATTTTGCAAATTTTTGAATCATTTTGCTTAAAATTGTTAGAATAAAAATATCTTACAACATTCCAATTAAAAATATTAAAATTATTTTCAATATATGTTATTAGGAAGTTATATAAAAAATTGCATTTTGATCTAAAGCCCTTAAGTTGTATTGTAAAACGGGCCCCAGGGAGCTTATTTAACGAAAGATCCCAACACAATGACCGAACACCTGTTAATTGTAAACTTTTGCAAAATTGATCATTCTGTTCGGAATCTAACATTAAAACATCTTGTTGAATTCTTTTTAAAAGAAAATTAAAAAATCCTTTTCAAATAATATAGCATGTCATCAGCATAATTTGATCATAATCGTTGAGTTCTTTTGCAAAACGGACCCCTATAATGGCTATATATACATGTAGCTTCTCCCTCCGCGACACCTTCGACTTCACCAGACGTTATAAATGTGAAAAGGTAAGCAAATTCGAAATACACTAAATCTGACACAAAAATTTGCTTTATATCCAACTTGATAGCTATATATCATGATGTATATAATATGAAACTTTGAAAATTAAAGTAAATCTTTATAGTATTGAAAAATGAAATTTATAAACGTACAAGACTTTTGAATAAAGAGCACGTGACTGGAGAACACGATTTGTGACGTAATTATGGTATTCATTATGAAATCTGCATCAATGTCCGGAATTTTAATTTAATTAAGATTTACAATGTACTAGTATTATTAACTCATGCTAATACAGTGCATTGAACTTATGCTACCTATGTGAACTTAAGGTCCGTAAGGTCTTATTCAACCTCTGCATTGTTTTATTACACAATTATTCCTATTCATTTTTCAGATAAACTTCGATCTGCATGGCTTTCAGATTTCACAGGCTAGATGAAATAAATCATGTTTATTTTAGTGTAGCTGTTGGCCCCTACCCCAATTCAAAACTGCCCCCATTTTCAAAATTCATGGATCCGCCATTGTTTCCTTGAACATCCAAAATAAAATTCTTATCATTCATGTGTAGCCAGTGGTAAAACATCAGAACTAACAATCTGGTTCAGGTTCAATATTATATTTATTAATGTTGAAATAAGACGTCAAAAACCTGAAATATTACAATTACACACAACATATAGACGACACATAGACAGACATTTAGACAGATAATTAAAACATAATAGACTTTACTTTAGAATAGATTCTTACCGGGACACACACAGGAATTACAAATATTACTATCTGTTATTGACTATAGAGTAGAGTACACATCTAACCAATTCAACGGCTAGGCTCAGAGTGCCCGATGTTAGTGCGTGAAAGCGGGAATTTGGTGAATAGGATAAAGTCATGTGACTGTCCGTCTAGTGTCTAAAAATAACAACAACCTCATTCACACAAAGTTTTTCACACCACATTCTCACATATACGCAGCGCTAGTATAGTAATTAAAGGCAGTAAATAATACATAACCCTGGTTACATACTCCCCCTCTTCGTTGAAATGGCTCCTGACATTTCCAAAGAAGTATGTACAATAATAGTAACCATGAAATATAAATAAAAACCAATTTACTTGATACAACTCACCACCATGAAATCAAGTAATTAAATTAAAACCTCATCAATGACCATCAAACTTCAAACATCAACAAGACACATAATATACAAATGTACCAATCAATGTAGGAATACCTGACCAATGAATTCCTCCATACTCCATATGACACACAAGTCATGAAACTATTTACACGTACCTCAATACACCTCATTAAAGTTTTACAACTTTTAAGAGCTAATCCCATAAACACTAGACACAAATTATTATATACAATGAGTTTAAGGATTAGGGGAATAATGAATATGGTCATTATTATAATATTTTTTTTTTTTAAATTTTTATTTTAATTTATTAAAATCCCGGGTAAACTGCATCATAAAAACATTTCGGCATAAAAGTAGTTTTCAGCATAAAAATCGGTTCTCGGCATAAAGCAATATCATAAAAAACCGTTTACATTATCCATTCCCCATACCGATCTGGGAATTTTTTCATTCTGGTCGACCGTCTCGGCAAAATCGGTAAAGGCGACTGTGATTGGTCTGAAATAAACTGACTATGTGGACCGCTCACAGAAGCTCTGGTACTACTGCTGTCTGACTCACTGGTGTAACCTGACTGTCTGGGAGAACTCACACTCTGAAAGGAAGGACTTGAATTCTGAAATGAAGAAATATTTTGATTAGTACCATCTGATACACTAGAAACTTTAGATCTTGATACACTGTGTTGATCTGATGATTCTTTGCTGAACTCATCTCTATTTCTGGGTATCCTTGATTTCACTTCAATTGTTACTTCATCATCCGAACTCTCAGAATCGGACTCCGGAAGTTCATCAGAATTCTTAGGCTTCTTGTTCCTCCTTGTCACAGGTGTCCTATAAACAACAGGTTCATCAATGTCACATGCTGGTATCTGGTTAAATGGTAGCAGCATATTTCTGTGCAGTGTCTTTGTGGCTCGTCCTGATGTACTCTTCACTCTGAAAACAGGGATCTCGGGATTGGGAATTTCTGTGATAACATAAACTTCTGAATCCCATCTGTCTGCTAGTTTATTCTTTCCCTTTAATCCTACTTTCCGCACAAGGACTCTGTCTCCAATCTCCAGCTTACAGAACCTCACTCTCTGGTCATACTTATTCTTGTTCTTGTCAGATATTCTCCTAGCTTCTTGAGAGGCATGTCTATATGCTGACACCATCCTGTCCTTAAGTTTCTCAACATAACCATGGTGATCTCCTTTCTCGTGTTCCAAGTCCATACCAAAGAATACATCTATGGGAAGCTTAGGATGCCAACCGAACATCAGGTAGTGTGGAGTGTATCCCGTTGCATCATTTCTGGTCGCATTGTAGGCTTGAACAAGTGGAGCAACATGGGATTTCCAGTCTGACTTCTGCTTCTCGTTGAGTGTTGAGAGCATTTTGATGAGTGTTTGGTTGAATCGCTCAGCTGAGCCATTTCCCATCGGGTGGTACGGCGTAGTCCTTGTTTTCTTTATTCCTAGGAGTTTGCAGAGTTCTTGGATTACTTTTGACTCAAAGTTACGTCCTTGGTCACTGTGTAATTTCTCAGGAAAGCTGTAATGTAGAAAGAAGTTATCAAATAAAGTTTTAGCTGTAGTATGAGCAGTTTGATTTTTACATGGAATGGCTTGAGCGAATCTGGTAAAGTGATCCGTTATGACTAAAATTAACTGAATTAAAAAAAATATTGCTTTTATAAACACCAAGAAAAAAAATAAAGTTCAAATGTTAAACAGAAATGAAAATAAAGAAATCGAAAAACAAAATTGATCGATCAGCTGTTTAAAGAATTTCCGGAAGCTTGTTCTAAATTTAGATCTAAAAATAAACTCGGGAATTCCCTATGCAAGAAGATGACAAAATGACAAAACAAATTCAATCTTTCACAGCACAAATACAGACACAAATACAACACAGGATAATCACATCATATAAGAACAGATAAGTAATCACTGAATTACACAGTACCTGAGGCCTCGTTGCTTAGTTCCGAGTTTCCTCGCGGATCAATGCGGTTCGTGCGGGTCACGTGGTTCGCCGCGCCTTTGGATCCGTGCGTATTCCCGCCATTCGTGAAACACTGAATTCGTCGTAAAGTTGACACACTTTTTCACTCTGTCGTTCCTTGGTAATAACGGAATATAAACGCACAGGCACAAACACACACAGAATCACCTCTTCATATGGGTTTCCATGGTATAGGTACTGGCGTGAAAATAGAAGTAACCGCTCCGGCTCGTCTCAGCCACGGTCCTCGTCTCAATAAGTCCGTCCCCCGGGGATTGAGATTCCAAGGAAATAAAGCTTTGGTGTGATGTCCCGGTTTATTAGAATTGCGTGGGCGCCATTTGTAGCCAGTGGTAAAACATCAGAACTAACAATCTGGTTCAGGTTCAATATTATATTTATTAATGTTGAAATAAGACGTCAAAAACCTGAAATATTACAATTACACACAACATATAGACGACACATAGACAGACATTTAGACAGATAATTAAAACATAATAGACTTTACTTTAGAATAGATTCTTACCGGGACACACACAGGAATTACAAATATTACTATCTGTTATTGACTATAGAGTAGAGTACACATCTAACCAATTCAACGGCTAGGCTCAGAGTGCCCGATGTTAGTGCGTGAAAGCGGGAATTTGGTGAATAGGATAAAGTCATGTGACTGTCCGTCTAGTGTCTAAAAATAACAACAACCTCATTCACACAAAGTTTTTCACACCACATTCTCACATATACGCAGCGCTAGTATAGTAATTAAAGGCAGTAAATAATACATAACCCTGGTTACACATGTAAAGACAATCAATTATAAATATTTTTTATTATTATACTGAAAGATGAAATTTATTAAAAAAAAAGAAGAAGACTTTGAATGAATAGAGTTACAAGACACTCTTCCTATCAAAATATACTTTTCCCTTTATAAGAATATCATTACCATCATTAATATATATATTATTTATTTCCTTTTTTATAATTTGTAAAGTTTTCCCCCTTTTTTGTTCACTGACTTTAATCTTTTATAATTAAACCATAAATCCGGCATTGCAGAAGGTATACGTATCATCAGATAACTATCCATATAAAACAGGTAGTGATGACCGAAACAGGCGTGCCTGTTATAACACTGATAGCGGATACACATATAGACGAGAAACAAACCGGAAGTTATTTATTGACAGACCAGCTGTAGCCGAGACAGAGGTAAGAATTAAGTGATCTCGTATAGCATACAGGCAATGAGATTTCCTATATTTTGACGCATAAGGGTTTTTTTTCTCGAGCTTATTAGAAACTGCGATATACAGATTTTATATAATACATGTTTTATTTGAATTTTTCTCTGATTCTGGTTCAAAAGTTTCTAAAGGAAGGAATCAAATCATTTAAATACACTAAATTTTAAAGGCCGATTTTTTTTTTTGTTATTTCCCGATCATGACAAAGAGCACACGGCGACTGTGACCGGCCGGCAGGGGATGCTCACTCCTCCATGGCACCTGATCCCACTTCTGATGTTTCGGAGGTCCATGTTTGCTCTGCTCCTATTTTAATTTGTTTTCTGGACTTTTGATCTTAAATACTGCTCGTTATCTCCACATGCTTGCCCATCTTTCTCACTAAATCAAACTAAGCCATCCCAGTTATACGGTTTAAGGTGGCCTTAAGGTAGTTTTTTTTGTAAATAATAAACTGTTTCAACCCATATAATTAAACCAGTAGTGTAGAACTTGTGTGCCTATTCAATTTATTTATTATCATTTATTTAATTTTCTACCACTATTTTACAAAAAATAAGACAATTTTTCCATCAAATTGTATATGCTTTATCTATTCAAATGACATGTTACAACTAAAATTATTGAAATTATTTTGAAATAATGCTTACAAAGTTGGTCACCCTTAATTTTCCTTCTACCATGGCATATACCCCCCCCCCCCCGCCTTTTCCGCCCACTATTCTTGGTCGGACAAGGTCACATGAGTACAGATTTGTTGTGTATAAGAACTTAGTGAGGTCACTCCGCTCTAAGGGTCATCTGCCGCAATGTTTCCCAGTCCTGGTGGTCATTACCATAACAAGTTATGACCCTCCTCCACGCCGGCTGACCTAATCAAGCGTAAACACTGTATAAGTTATAATGACAGAATCCCTCTCATCTTTATATTATTATACTATACATGTACCCAGTTCACCCTTCCAGGGTTCATAGTAGTCTAGAGTATTGTTATTCACATTTTCTAAATGACCACAGTAATGTTTGGGTGTTTGTTTTTTCTGCTGTACGCTGCAAACATATATACCGGTCGAGCGTTGGGTATAGATATAGTACTGGATATTATAGCCAGTACATGTAGTATTTACGTGGTTGATTGTATGGTGGAACTGCTTCACTTAAATAAAGGTAAAATAAGCATTTTTTTTAAATCAAGTTATATTATAACGAATGGCGTAAAAGGGCAACGTTTTTCTTTTTTTTCAAATTGCAGTAATGTAAAAATAGTTCAATGATGAGAAAAGAAGAGGTGGGGGCTAGGGATATGATTAAAATCAGAGGGCGCGCTCCGCTTACACCTCTGTTGCCATCTAAAAAGTAGCGCGGATTGTCAAATAATTATTTGTCGACAAAAATTGTATAAACATTGATTTTTTTGTATGATTTCTCAATGATGTTACGTGTTTTAAGCTCTTTGGTAGTAAATATTTCCTGACTTTGTCTCCTTGGTTTCAAAATGAAAATATGTGTAAAAATTCAGAACAAAATATATGTAGTGCCGTATATATTGAAGCTATTTTAATATATATCCAAATTTTGAAAGAACAAAAGAAGTACTACAGATTGATATTTCTAATTTCATTTATTACCAAGTTGGTAGAAATCTATAATTTATTTTCGTTTTACAAGATTCTTGTAATTTAGACGATAACAGAAGTGTTGGAGCGGACGCGTAAAACGCCCTCTGGTGAGAGATTGAATAAAATATTGTTTTAATTTAAAATAAATTCAGAGCAAAGACGGGTAGAGATTCCGGAACTCTTTCAAATAGTGATCTCTCTAACAATGTCTAACATAAACATATTATATGTATTATTATTTTCATTAATAAATGTATGATGACTAATAACGTGAATAAGAAAAGAGATGAAATCTTCCATTTTTCTGCACATATATTTTTCTACAAATAAAAAGTTCTAAAATTTGAGCAAAATTCTTCTTTTCCCTTCTCTAAGCCAGAAAATAGACATCTCTTTGAAAAAGATAAACGTTTTGGGTCTTATTTCTTTTCAAAGCTTTTCTCGACCAGGATATTCAGATATAAATTCAATTGCTATAGATGTAAGCAAGCAGTGTGTTTTACCTCATGTATTAAATTTTGTGCCTCATTTTAAGGTGACATTATGTAAAATGTGTAAAATGAGAATGTATAAAAGAAAAGTAAAGGAATTTTACGTAATAGCCACGTGATCCGGTTTTGTCTGAGCTGGGGAAATATTCTGTAATAATAAAAAAAAATCAAGGGATTGTATTATTCTTAAAAAAATTCTCGCAATAGGAAGTCTGTAACAAAACAAAATGTTATAAACTGGAACTTTTACATGTATTATATTACATTTTGTGTTATAAAATTTTATGTTATATAACATATTTGTTGTTACACATTATGTTATTATATTTGTGTTATTACATTCACATTTTATCATGGCATGGAATGTAATTACGCGAAATGTAATATTCCCGGTTCATTACATTTTACTTTGTATATCATATTTTGTATATTATATTTCACATCGTAACAGCAGCCGATTTACTACCATTTTCCACTACATCTTCTAGGAACAACATATCAATGAAATTGCCGTTTATTTTTAAAGAAAAATAATTGATGAAATAAAGATAGTTGACAGGGTACTATAAAGTTGGTGGTTACGGGATTATAGGGTCAATAAATGACTTACTATTCGTGAGCTCTTCACTGCAGAGTGTTAGCAAATTCATGTAACTGTCTTGTTTAATATTGTTCATGTGTGTGATTCCTTTGCGAAATTGTCCGACTTTTCCACGTGTTGATTGTCAAGATCAATGACTGATGACACTTTAAGGGCAAGGTCAATATAATACTATTGTAATTAGGTTATATGGCACCACAGGCTGTTAGATCGCTTTAAAAAATGAGGTATTAAAAATATTGCGTATAATGTAGCTATTTTAAAAGTGGGTTCGGGCTAGAGGGGTGTAACTTCGACCTTACAGCAATCGAGAGGCTTGCGCAAAAATTTGCATACTGTAAAATCATATTTTCATGGGGTCAAATTTTCGTGGTTTGAGTAAAATCTTTTGGTTCATGGGGATTTGAATTCGTGGATAAAAAAATGTTAAGTAGTTATGTATGTAACATTTTACATTTAGTTGTGGACCTAAATTCGTGGGTCTCTTCATACCTCGAAAACAGCGAAAATTAACCCCCACGAAAATTTGTGATTTCACAGTACATGTCAATTATGCATGAAATTATCATGCAAGGTGATCGATTGATCATCGTCATAAAACTAAAAATTTGATAGCAATTCCTTATATTTACATGCTCCCGATGCCGCAAATTCACGTGCTACAAACTCCGCTTCCGTATCTATTTGCCCCGCCCGCACGTGATTTTTTTTAACCACGCCTATCAACGATCTAGTAGACTAATGTAGAAATAACGTATTTTTATTAATTGAAATTTTATCTCGGACAAAGACCTAGGAAATGTATGTACGTAAATATTTCTTGTTTTTACGTAAAATTGTAGGTTAGATAATGATCAACCCTTCAATTAAAAGAAAAATGTCTGCTTTGAAAGTTTATTTTGCATGTCCTCAAGTGCAATCGTCCTTTGGAAAATGTTGCATTTAAACCCCCTAGTAAATTCAAAATTTATACTACATAATATAGAAGCATGTTACACGACTTAAACATAGAATATAAGTTGCCTTTAATCTATAAAGTTTACACAGGTTATAAATATGTACTATGGTTACTCTATTATACTTCTTCAATGAGCAACATGATCAGTAAGTACACTACCAGATATAAATCCGTGCACTAACCGCAAACCTCATCCGGCCCGATATTTATACACTCTGCCAATCATGACTATGCTGTTCTTGAGAAGATTTTTTTAATCCTAGTAACTCTATTCCTGTGAATAGTTTTGCTACCCATTGTGGTCCAACCCTATGCCCAGTGTTTTATGATTTGAACAAACGTGAATCTACATTACGGTATGATACTTTTTAAATAGGAGTATATAAGAAAAATCTTGTTTCGAAACAATAAAGCCATGATTGGCTATTAACTATAGGAAGTATCATACCGTAATGTAGATTCACGTTTGTTCAAATCATGAAACACTGGGCATAGAGTTGGGCCACAATGGTTGATCAAAACTATTCATAGGAATAGATTTACTAGGATTAAAAAAATCTTCTCAAGAACAGCATAGTCATATCTGATGAATTCCACATTATATTAATAGACGTTTTCATTAATAGACGTTTTCTTTCAAAGATTATTAAAAAAGAATGAAAGAAATTTACATTTCATACTTAAATGGAATGAAAAGTAAGATAAACTTTTTTCTTGCAGATATCTACATAAACAGAAATCTGTCTTTAATATCGGTGGCATCTCTAAGACTGTGCTGGAATATAATGAACTTTGTACCTTTAGCCGTCATTCAAACCTGGAATTAAGACCGTTATCCAATTTCAACCAGAGACGTAAAGACAACATGATTCGAGTCCACTGAACCAAGATGCTTTTTGGTGTTGTCAAGATTACAGCGCATGCGCTCTGGCCACGTCCCTGGAGCTGACGGGTAGCGGACTACAGGAGTTGTCCTTCATAATCTCTGATAATCTGTAATTCTCCAATTTTTTCCTACCATTGCGATTCATTTTTGAATTACTTGGCCTACTCCATCAAAAAACAGCGCTTGATGCTGAAAAACAGAAAAAAGACTACCAGTTTTACTTGGACAAAATTCGAAAATTCTTTGTTACCAAAATTGTAACAAAGATCGTGGAAACTTTTTCCTGATTTTTATTGGATACTTGATCAGCAAAAAATATAATTGCAATTCCTAAGGTCAAACCGTTTACATATCTAATAGTAAGAGTTATCTACACGGGTTTCCAACATGGCGTATGACGACATATTCGCAGTGATAGGAGACTTCGGACCTTACCAGAAGAGAATCTACGTCTTACAGACGCTCCCTGTTGTTTTTGCCGCCATACAGACATGTCTGTCCGTCTTCATACTGTTTTCTCCAGATCACAGGTAAAAACTCAGGTGTTTATAGGTAAAATTCCAAGTGTGTACAGGTAAAAACTCAGGTGTTTACAGATAAAACTTCAGGTGCTTACAGGTAAAAACTCATGTGTTGACAGGTAAAAACTCAGCTGTTAAAGGAAAAAACTCAGGTGTTTACAGGTAAAACTCAGGTGTTGACAGTTAAAATCTCAGGTGTTGACAGGTAAAAATTCAGGTGTTGAAAGGTAGAAACTCATGTGTTGACAGGTAAAAACTCAGGTGCTTACAGGTAAAATTCAAGACTAGTCCAATTTTCCTCGTTATCTACATAATTATGAGATAATTATATCCTTTCTTTTAGCATATCTTCTTTAAATAGTAAAACATCAAAAATATTTTTTTAAATTTTGATGACAGGGAACAATTTTTGATTGAGATACAAAATATTGTCTCGTATACTGATCTGTTACAGCCGACTTAACCTGAAAAAATGTTTATAATTTTGCATTTACAAATAATACAATTTCAACGAGAGGCCCATTTCCTGTATGCAGTATAATCACAGGCCTCATAATGACATGTATATTAATTTTTACTAGATTTTTATGACACTTCCGATTTCCAGATGTGCAGTCCCTCACCTCCATAACGATACATTCCTAATTCTGAGTCATCATCACGAACGGCTTGTTAACCAATCAGTACCGCTTGACCTCCAAACACACTCCAGCATCGGTGAGGGCAAACGTTACTCCAAGTGTGAAGTCTTCAAAAGGCGCTTGAATTCTTCTAAGAGGACCGACGTGACCACGGTCCATAATTCAACTGAATGTGGGCGATGGGTGTTCGACAAACGGGAATTTGACAGTACTTTTGTCACAGAGGTAAAAAAAAGGCATCTAGAATATTTTAAAAAAGAGAGATAACCCCTATACACTCGAATCCAGGATCATGGACATTGCAAATCATACAACTGTATAAACCTCGATGTTTACAAAAGACAATTCATGATTGTTCTTCTCAAAAAACATATATGTTCTTTGAACAAAAATATGACAGTGAATAAATTGACACAGTAATCCGGCAACATAAATCTTAACTCATTGTCTCCATACCCCTGACTATAGAGCAAACACTTGCACCACTGCGCTGCGCAATAAGTCATATTTTGTAAAGCAAAGATATCAAACATCTGAATCATATAAATCTTTCTGTTCTTGAACACCCTACAGCTTCTCTTATTTATACCAGGTATAATAGTAACAGATGGAGTTTCTCTCGCTCATTACGATGAATTTCTAAAAGGTGGGGCAAGATATTTATAAATAAGTTGACTCGACAAAGATATCAACAGTCATGCTTAATCTTCACATTCTGCAAATTTTATGGCCCCCTGTATATGAAAATTAATCTATCGACTTTCATACAAATTGATACACTATCATTTACACACTAAATGTTAAACGGAAACAATCAAATAAAAAATACCATTTTGCTCATTTTTGTTTCCAGTGGTATGTTAAAACAGGTATGCATTTAAGAAAATCATTAATTTTTTAAGATTACTAGTGCTAAAAGCAAACTATGATACAGAGAGGGTAGATAATTCTGACTGTGGGCTAATCTTTTGTTATTTATTGACAATCAAGGGTAATCTGGTGTGCAGGAAGAAGTTACATCGAACACACGCTATGATGTCGTTCATGGCTGGTTTTACTGTGGGCTCGTTGTTTATAGGGGTTCTCTCTGACAGGTAAGTTCTGTATCATTAGGTAATTCGTTCTCTTACTATTCGTTCTCAGACTTTGATTAAAAAACGAAATTGAAAAAGATAACGTTTTATTTAGCGGATTGCAAAAAAAAAGAAGAAAAAAAGAAAAGAAAAAGAAAAAAAATTAATATTTAAAAATAGATAGTATGAATAAACGAGCAATTATGAAGAGTATGATATGTGAAAATAACAAAAAGTCGTCAACATAATGTATTTAATATTGATTTCTCAAATTTTAAATTTGTTAAAGTTTAAACGCAGCAGATGTGAAATAATCACTTCAATGAATAAATTCACATTTAAATTCTCCTCAGGTTTGGAAGGAAGAGTGCTCTCATGATAAGTATTGTTGTCCATATTTGTTCAAACGTCCCTCTGTCCTTCATCAGTGATTTCTGGGTCTTCTCAACGCTTCGCTTCTTCTCGGGCCTTTCCGTCGGTGGTCTTGTAAGCACCACATATGTAATGGGTGAGATCATTTTATTTCTAGCAATCTTTCGTATGTTATCTTAAGATTGTAACATAAAAAAATTAAAAAAAAAATAATATAAATTTTTCACAATCTTTGTTGACGATAGATTAAAAGATTGACACAAGGCAATAAAAATATTTTTTTTATAACATCAAGAAGAAAAACAAGATGTGTTTGCAACCAATTTTTCATGAAGCTTTTCACACTAGGAGTAAGTGTGGCACAGGAAGGTTTCATACAAATTATTCAATAGAAGACCCTTTTGTTTCAGACCTTGAATTACTATGACTTTTGTTTCAGACTTGAGTTACTGTGACTTTTATATCAGACTTGAGGCACTGTGACTTTTGTTTCAGACTTGAGTCACTGTGACTTTTTTTCAGACTTGAGGTACTATGACTTTTGTTACAGACCTTGAGTTACCGTGACTTTTATATCAGACTTGAGTCACTGTGACTTTTTTTCAGACTTGAGGTACTATGACTTTTGTTACAGACCTTGAGTTACCGTGACTTTTGTTTCAGACTTGAGTCACTGTGACTTTTATATCAGACTTGAGTCACTGTGACTTTTGTTTCAGACTTGAGTTACTGTGACTTTTGTTTCAGACTTGAGTCACTATGACTTTTGTTTCAGACTTGAGTCACTGTGACTTTTGTTTCAGACTTGAGTCACTGTGACTTTTGTTTCAGATATGTGTTACTGTGACTTTTGCTTCAGATTTGAGTTACTATGACTTTTGTTACAGACCTTGAGTTACCGTGGCTTTTGTTTCAGACTTGAGTTAATCTGACTTTTGTTGCAGACCTTGAGTTTCTATGACTTTTGTTTCAGACTTGAGTTATTGTGACTTTTGTTTCAGACCTTGAGTTACTGTGACTTTTGTTTCAGACTTGAGTCGCTGTGACTTTTGTTTCAGACTTGAGTTACTGTGACTTTTGTTTCAGACTTGAGTCACTATGACTTTTGTTTCAGACGTGAGTCACTGTGAATTTTGTTTCAGACTTGAGTCACTGTGACTTTTGTTTCAGACTTGTGTTACTGTGACTTTTGTTTCAGATCTTGAGTTACTGTGACTTTTATATCAGATCTTGAGTTACTATGACTTTTGTTTCAGACCTTGTGTCACTGTGACTTTCGCTTCAGACTTGAGTTACTGTGACTTTTGTTTCAGACTTGAGTTACTAATACCTTTGTTTATGACCTTGAGTTACTGTGACTTTTGTTTCAGACTTGATTTACTATGACTTTTGATTCAGACTTAAGTTACTGTGACTTTTGTTTCAGACCTTGAGTTATTATGACTCTTGTTTCAAACCATGAGTTACTATGACTTTTGGTACAGACTTGAGTTACTGTGACTTTTGTTTAAGACCTTGAATTACCGTGACTTTTGTTTCAGACTTGAGTTACTGTGACTTTTGTTTCAGACCTTGAATAACTGTGACTTTTTTCAGACTTGAGTTAATCTGACTTTTGTTTCAGACCTTGGGTAAATGTGACTTTTGTTTCAGACCTGGAGTTAGTCGGACCCGACATGAGGATGCTGGCGGGGATGTTTTTCCAGTTATTCTGGAGTGCTGGTGTTTTCCTTCTGGCTGCGTTGGCGTTCCTCATCAGGGACTGGCGTTACCTCAATCTCGCCACTTCTCTCCCAACCATTCTCTTACTGTCATATTATTGGTAAATTTCACTTTATTCCCCCACTCCTCAAATTCACCGGCTCGAATTCCTTCTTTTCTTTCAATTCAACTTCAATCTACTGGACAGTAAATTTCAAAGCTAAAATTGGTATTTACACATGAAAACTCTCAAGATTACATAATTATAAATCTTTATTGCTAAGGTATAATCCGAATTATTCAGTTTATGGCCTACCTGTCATTGTTAGGCTAGTTCCAGAGTCTACACGCTGGCTAATAGTCCGAGGGAGGCACAAAGAGGCAGAAAGAATCCTAATGCATGCTGCCAAGGTTAACAAGCGAAAATGCCCGGATCGAATTCTGAAAGGAACTGAAAACGAGGCCAAAGATAAACGGCGTGTATCCTGTAGGAAATTGTGTTCAGCTCGACTTTTTGTCGTCAGATTTTTTGTCATATGTTTGAATTGGTACGAATTACTTAGTAGAACACATATTCTAAAATTTATGCGTCTTAATTTCATATAAAGTATACAATTAGTTTATAAAAATGTACACGGCAATTTAAGCATATAAAAAGGATAATTTTCACAACGTTCTTAATGATGATGATATTGAATAATTGATGATAACTTATGAATGACTGTTGATATGGTTGACAATAATTTTGATCTTACCCGTAGGTTGGTGATTAACATGGAATTTAGTGGACTGTCCTTAAACGTCACCAATCTTGGCGGGAATGTTTACTTCAACTTTTTTATGACCAGTGTGGCGGAGATTCTTGGCTTCCTGTTGTGTATGCCCCTCCTTAACCGTGTGGGGAGGAAGCCTGTCTTTGTCCTGTCTCTTCTCTCCGGGGGCGTGGCTCTTGTGCTCACTATATTCCCCATACTGTATGGTCAGAAGGGTAAGTATAGATATAGAAATAGTGTTCTACTAAGCTATTCCCCATACTGTACGGTCAAAGTGGTAAGTCCAGATATAGTGTAATGCTAAACTCACTATATTCCCCATACTTTACGGTCAAAAGGTTGTCTAGGTATAGAAAAAGTGTACTACTAAGCTCACTATATTCCCCATACGATACTGTAAAATTGGTAAGTCTAAGAGTAACAATAGTGTACTAGGCTCAATATATTCCCCATAATGTACAGTGAAATAGGTAAGTTTGTGAGAAACATTAGACTACTACAAAGCTCACTAGAAATAACACTTAGCTCACACTATTCCCAATACTCTCCAGAGAAAGGGGTAAGTTTGGATTAACATTACTCTACTAAGATCACTGTATTCTGTTTTTTCTTAAACTGAGGCAGGCTACTGACACATACGTTTAGATTATAGGAAGTTGAACTTGTCAGCAAATTCGAGGCCATTGCATCGTATTTTAACTTTCATGTTACAATTTTAAGACCTTTATTTCCCTGATCAATACGTTGATCTCACGACTGGTGTGTCCGACTGATTAGGGATGCTTATTACTCCATGTAGATACATAATTTCATTATTTTAATTTTCTACGGATCCATGTTTTATACCCCCTTCACAGATTTGTGTTGTGTTCTTGATTTTTTTTATCGACCATATTGTTTGTCATTTCACATTTTTCACTCGAACATTTTCACATTTTTCACTCGAACTTTTTCACATTTTCCACTCTAACATTTTCACATTTTTCACTCTAAGCAAAGCAATCCTTTACTGAAATCATTGTTTACACTGTAATCTCAATTAATGCTGGAATGACGTCTTTTATTAGACTCTTGCTAGGTAAAGTTGAAACGGTATATTTGTTTGCTATCTAATCAGTAGATCAGATGAAAGGGATACAGTGTATATTATATAAGACATGTTAATAGGCTGCATAATGTTTTATACATGTATTTTTTGGCCAATCAAAGTTCAAAATTTTTATCAAAGGCAGGATAAGGTTTGATATGAAATATGTAGAAAACGAGCAGCATTCAAGCTCAAAAGTCCATTCAAACAAAATAAATTGGGAACAGAGAGACCACGGACCTTTAAAACATCAGGGGATCAGGTGCCATTAAGGAGTCAGCATTCCCTGCTGACGGGTCAATTCCGCCATGTCATGATCGCGTAAAAGAAAAAAATTTGGTGGCAAATAATTGTCTAATAATTGGAATACGCCAGTGAGCATTTGTCTAAATGATAGATTGTACTTGCTGAAGATATAATTGTATTAACCATAAAACATTTTTTAACGTATACGTAATTTGAGATTTTAATGAGAAGCAGGATAAATCATTTTTCATGGCCCCCTTTGTCTTTTACAGATCAGCAGTGGATGACGTTGGGGCTGTCCCTCGTGGGTAAGGTGGGGTCATCTGCCGCCTTTGCCACCGTGTTTCTGTACTCCGTCGAATTTTTCCCGACAGTCATCAGAAATTCGGCCATTGGCGTGGCTAGCTTTGGTGCGAGATTTGGCGGGATGTTGGCTCCCTACGTTGTAGATCTTGTAAGAAGATTTTATTATTAAATTTTATATTTTGTGATAAATATACGTTTTATCAAATTCATCTTGAAAAAATATTTTGATGTGTAAATTTTTTACTGTTTGTATTTAGAAGTATGTATTTTGCAATTAATTGCAAATTAAGTGAAATTAATAAAAGTTACTTTTTAAATTTAAAATAAAATTCTCCTAGTTTTTGTCTTTTCTTCTGATAGCTTTAATCAATAGCATCAATTATAAAACCCTAACAAAAGTTTATTTTAGTTCCTGTACGATGCTGCGCAGATACATGTAATTTCTGAAATTCATTTCAATTGATTTTGTTTTATGAGCCTTGCGCTACAATTTCTATCATTTTTCAGACAGTCAGTTTTATCCTCCTTAATAGAAATAGTTATATTTTATTTATTTCAGTGACATATTGGCATAATATTGCCTACGTGGGTTCGAGATAAAGAGGGCAATGGCTATTACGTCACAATAAAGACCGTTTCTCTGCAGATGGAACTATTACGTCATAAAGAAGTCTTGGGGTTACTTTCACAGCGAGAAAAGATAGTGATACTTGCTATTTCAGGTGGACTGCAGTAACTTTTGAAGTTGGAAGGCGTGTATTTTTTGATCCACTTTTTTCTTCTCTGTTGTTATGGTAATATATCTTTTCTTCGGAATGATCCTCTCGTGCATGATGGTTTGTTTTGTTTTGTTTAACGAACAATCATTTTCAATCATATTGAATCACCACCACTCGCCAGGAGAGGGCTAACGGTTGCTAATTATACATTTACTCGGTCCTTGGCGTGTATACTCAGTAAGGGGTCTTTTCATGGCAACACCTACTGCGACTCGGGAAGTCGGTTTATACGGGAAGAAAAGGTGAAAACGGACAGAAATCTATCTCAGAAGTCCAAGAAAACGGCACAGCAGCTGAAGAGCAAATACAGGAGTTCTAAAGCTTTGAAGGTGGAATCAGGTGCCACGGATGAGTAAGCATCCCTTACTGTTCAATCGCATCGTGTGCTCCTTCTTCCTGATCGAAAAAAGGAAACAGCACTAGAAAATTCAAAAAAAAAATGGCAAAGAAAAAAATGGCCGATAAAATAAAAGTGATTTGGGGTCGTTCATAACTGCTTGTTTTATGTTCGTCAACCTTTTTGATCAATTTTCAAAACAATTACAGGAGTTCGCGTACCTATCAATTTTACCGAAATTTTCTGTAAATAAAAAGAAACACGTAATACCCCCAATATTGCTGCAATGAACATACCGTTTGAATATTGATTCATTCTTCAGTCTTTGCACCAGGTACAGAAAAGGTTGTTATTTGTTTACAAACAACCAGTGAACATTGGCATGCAATCTGTGTAAGGTTTCAAACTAAATTTTGAATTACAGACAGATTTGTTCAACCAACGTTCGAAAGGGGCTTAAAAATATATACTATTTTATACAGGATGAATCCAAGACAATAGTTTCCCGCCAAGCAGGGTTAAAAATATTCAGTATTTTATTACAGGGCCAAATTATTGAAGGGGATGTTGGAAGAGTGCTTCCGATGGCTGTTTTCGGATCCTCTGCAGTTATAGTTGGTCTAATGTCAATGATATTACCGGAAACGTTGAATCGGAAGTTACCTGAAACTATCGAAGACACCATCGCCTTTGATCAGTAAGTAAGAAGTCGGAAGAAAGTCAAGAATCTTAACGCCCATTTCCTTAGGATTGATATACTAGTATCTTTTTAATTATATTCATACTTAAATAATCCAACCTCGTCATCTTGATTAGACAGATTATAGAATTCTAGATATCCGAAGTTTAGAGCACGCCAAGATTGAAAACATTAGGAAAAGTGATTGTGAATACCAATTCTCTGAAGCAGATCCCTCTTTTTCGAGAATTTTGTGTTCGACATAAGGAAGATGTACTGTATTTTTATTTTATACTTTATGTAAAAAATGAAGCTTATTTCAACTTATGTTGTACAATATAACATAACTTGGGTCAGTTTACACTTAAAAAACCGCAAACTGACCAAAGTTTTGTTATATCGTATAACATAAGTTTTAATAAGCTTCATTCCTTGTGATTTAATTTCAGTGTAGACAATGAGACAATTTTTCGTCCAAACTGAGAAAATTTTAAAAGTAACGTCAGAAAGAGTAATACATTTTTGACGTAATTCATTGTGACCTATACAAGTTATGTTATACGAAATGCACCAAATCTTTTACCCAATCAAATGACGTGTTACAACTACATTTGTAAAATTAAATTATGCTAATATAAAATCCCTTCAGCCTCTCAATGAGAAGCGGTCAAGGTCAAAATATACAACAACAATGATAAATTAATGATATATCAAGGGAACTTGCCACCTAACAACAACAACAAAACTCCGCTAATAATGTGAAAACAGTGCTGAACCTTAATGATAAACACAAATCATTAAAGGGGACAAACTTTTTTTTTATCAAAAACGGTTATAATTTAAGAGTTTCCATTTTAAGTATTTAGGAATCATGTAAATAAATGATCAATTTCAAGGGCAAAGGGATGTAATTATTCTTTTAAGTTAGGCACCTACCATATATCTAATACGGTTCAACCGCGATTATGGAAATGGTTAAAAAGTCAAGTTCAATGAACTAAGATAGGCTACACTGTATTATTCAATTGACATTTATCATTGAGAACTGATTATATCATTCATTAAGTTATTAATCGTGAAAGAGTACTCTATAATACATTACCATTAATGCGTAATATATAGGTTGTTTAATACGTTTTTTCAGATCAAAAAATGTCTACAGTATTGAATTGGAAGAAGTCTCCAGTCAGCCTCTAAACGAACCAATCAGACCCGATAATTCAGAGCCTTGACGACAACTAATAAGAGCCGACGATTCATAGCCTTGAAGACAACCAATCAGAGCTGACGATTCAGAGCCTCAACAACAACCAATCAGAGCCGACAATTTACAGATAATCTATATTACTCAACCAATAAAAGGTCATGTTTTAATCAGGCGTACAATTGGAAACTTTTCTACCTTCTTGCCAGCCAATTTGTTTTTACTTATATCACACAGTATTCCTAAGGAAGGTCAACTCATATACGTATTAGCTTCAAGCTTTTCCTGCTGCAATGAATCTGGTAAAGGTTCTTGAATAAATTACTTCAGTTCTATTACAAAGTAAAAATGATTTAATAACCTTTTCAAGGAAATAACTTTACTTTGAAAGCAATATGTTCTGAGAAAAAATTCCGTAGAAGTTCTGTACTAAATAGAGCAAAATGGATTGAATGATTGATTTTTTTTAATTTATTTATTGTAAAAGAGAGCGAGGGGGAGGGGTGGCAAGAGAGAGAGAGAGAGAATTGCTAACTCATTTGTTCTACATGTGTATATCCAAAGACTGATATTGAACCATGACATGATTAGCTGATATGTTTTGATGTTATCATGTTTTAAAAGTTTTATTTAGATGTTCTAAACATTTTACGTATCCGTCTATAAAACTGCACTGTCTTTCATTGAATTGAGGTTTATTCTTATCATGAAGAAATTATACATGGTATGTAAATTACGTTTGTATAAAATGTAAAGATTTACTTGATGTCAAACCTTTTTGTTTTCTTTCATGTTAGTTACATATAAATCATTAAATTTACATATTAATCAGAAATCATGTACTTTAAATTGACTTTTTCAAATGATATGTATAATATCAATAGTGATTATTTATAATTTTATAAATTAAGATATTTTTGTTACATATTAAATCATCATTTGAATTAAAATCTGTGTTTTATTTCTTTTAATTTCGGCTCAGTAACCATAAATACTGTAGTTTTGTCCCGTTTATAGAAAATAAAATCTGAAAATTAATATAAGGAAACAGTATGAGATATTTCTTAACTACTTCAGATTTATAAATTAGATTCATTTAACCTATCAAACTTTAGCTTAATGACAAAACGTGGTGACTTCGAATTTTCAATCCATCATGAAGCAGTTTACACCTTTATCACTGCATAATGGGTTTATTTCTCTCTGTTGATTCGATACACAAGGATCGAGTGTGCTCTACGTACAAACAAATTCTAAAGCGAGGCAGGCTATTGACAAACAAGTTGAAGATGATGAAACAAGAACATGGAACAGTTTTATTTAAAGTCATAATTCCGCAAGTTCTATGGTGGATACAATGATCTTGTCAACAAAAACAATATACCATGAAGTCAAATGGTGCCTGGCGTTTTAAGGCCATTGTACAGAGTGTTTTCCATTGAGATAGTTTAAGCAAGAGTAATTCCCCATGGGCCGTCATATCCCAAATCCCTTCATCATTCAACCAAGTTCAATTTGTTATACTGATCAGTTACTGAGGTAAAGATAATGCTATTTTTCTTATGAATATACATTTGTTAAAGACTCTATTGATTATTAATTTTAAGATTGTAAATATTTCCCCCATATTTTTCTGGCATGCATGTTTAGAATTGTTTGCTCAAAAAGGAAAATTCAGTACTTTGCCCTAGAAGATGGCGGCTAAGGGGAATAACTCCGAGGCAAACTACGTCATAGGAAAAGATCTATACCCACTGAATTGTCTACACAGACAAGGAGTACAAGGTCGACAGGGGATGCTCACTTCTCAGTGGCACCTGATCCCACCTCCGATGTTAAAAAAGTCCTTGTGTCCACTGCTCCTGAATTGTATTGTTGAATTTCACCAGTATATTTTATTTTATTTGAAGCCATTTAACGTAACTGGATTGGACATGATTGTATTGTATATTGCCTTAAGGACAGATGATACAAACAAACTTTTGTCAAAAAATTTGAAAAAAACAACTTGAGTCATGTTTAATGTTTAAAATGAATAAGTTTCACCGCGTAGTTTTCAAATTTTTATTCAAATTTTCACAATAATGGGATTTGAAGTGAAATAATATCTGTATAGCATAATAAGGTTGGTTTCAACCAGACAGGAGTTTTGAACATCACAGAAGGTTTACAATTTTTTTTATATTCTTGAAATTTATTATTTGCATCATTTTCAATGAAATTAGGCCAAAAAATATATACCAATCCAGGCATCCATTTTTTGTTTGCCTCATCTGTCCTTAAGTGGTCTGTGTGGTTGTGGCCATTTTCAGACTACTATTTTGTTTTCCTTTAGAAGAAGAGCTCCACATAAAGATAAACAAAAATGATCAAATTTTAAAACTAAAATCTATGAAATTTTTCTTTGCGAAATGATAGTTGACAGCTTAATACATCATATATAAATCAAAAAATAAGTTATATCTGATGGTTAATTTGTTGACCTCTCCCCCCTCCCAGCATTCTTGATACTACATTTCCTTCTTAGCTTAGGTCCTTATTTCCGATAAAATGTACACATGTTCCCATGTGGTATTTACTACTTCGCTGATAATTCAAAACGAATTGAGAAAAGAATGCTAAAACGGGAAAAAACCTGTAATGGCAGTGTATCAATTTTTCAGTTCTACGTAGTTCCGTATAATCACAAAAAGCATATTTTTTTTTTTAAAAGTGCATTTATCTAATTGAGTAAAATGTACTTTTAAACCACTGACCTGTGTATATCGCAGTTTATAAGCATGAGAAATAGTGCGTCTGTTTTTATTTATAATATATATATTATAAAATGTATACTTGCTCTAATGTTTGTCCATTATATGAACATATTTTACTCACTAGTGCTAGAACTTTATTAGTTTAATTTGAAATAATTCTTACAAAATCACGATCTAAAATTTTAATGACACGTCGGTTCAATTGTTCAGCCTGAGAGAAAGCACTGAACGAGAACTCTGAATAAAAATTGTAATTAAATAGTAGATTTACAATTATATCGCAGGGAATAAGGCTTAATTCAATTCTAGCTAAAAGGGGAAAAAACTAGATGAAACCGACTGCGTTAATTTGATGGAAAGTACGTATTATGGGACGAGAAGGGTGAAGGCCTAAATACGGCCCGAAAAATTATAAAAAGGCGTAACCACGTCGGTAAACTATTAATACATGTGCATACTAAAGAGACCCGAGATCAACTGTTCAGAACAAAAAAAATGAATAAACGGTGAAATGATATAATTAAGTTCAGTGAACTGGAAACTACGGAAAAAGCTGTACACAACCGATTAAAGATTACATAAATATGCTTGGCATGGAATTGTACCTTAGATAAAGCATACTTTAAGTAAGGGGGTTACAAGGCCCTAAGGACTTGGTCTGGCAGAAAGGGGACAATAACCTCGTATATCATGATACAATAAGTGAGCAACAAGACTAATAGTGTGCGGGGGTATTTTACTGTTGACCGTTAATATATTGAACTCTCCTAACTAAATATTTGCAGATTTAAAATTTGGTAAATCAATCATTTACAGATTTTGTTTTATCAGCTGGATTTGATGGTAATTTAAGAAAATGATTAAATTCGGAAGAAGTTATAAAAAATATATATGTTGCCGCCTGAATATGTGTACATATCATCACAAAATATGCTAACCTAGTTTTGAGATATTTTGTCATAAAACAGTAAAGATAGGTGGAAGAATAAAAATTAAAAACATAACTAGAATACATTTACTCTAGTTATCTATATATAATATAAAGTGATATATATTTGTACATTTAAGAAGAGATAGATTTTGCAGGAATGCACATAGCAACGGGGGTTGGGGGGGGGGGGGCAAGGGGGGTCCCCACTTCTTACCACGATAAAGTGACATCAAGGAAATGTAGTATTGTATGCTAAAAAATTGGAAGTGAAAGAAAGTTGGCATTGAAAAAAGTTGGGGCCAAGCATAAAATCTTTCATACTTACATGGCCGTATAAAAACCGGTTCTAACGAGTTAAAACTACATGCATTTGTTTCATATAATTTTTTTTCTTTCCAAATGCGATATCCAATGTACATATACATATAAAACAAAAGAAGGGGGGGTTTACTGTTGTAAATGCATTGATAAATGGTAGTAGTTCTCATGTATGAAAAATTAAGGGGAGGAACTATTTAGTTTGCTATTAGATTAATTTATTTTTACTCAAACGATTGTGATTTTAGCAGTCTATTTTGAAATTTGATACTTTTCAATTTAAAAAAGAAATAATATTTTTAGTAAAATTAAATCTTATGTTCACAAGAAAAAAAAATTTAAGGAAGTGTGATATAAATTATATTCGAAGCAATTTCCAGGAAAAGGACAATTATCAATTTTTCAATTATGAAATATTGAATTTTTTTTACGAAAAAAAAAAGAATAAATATATTAAATAAAAATATAAGCATAATTTTTTTCTGCAGTTTGCTAGTTACTTTTTGCGTTGTTTGCATTTAAAGTCACTTTGAAAATCTTTTTCCATTTGAGTTTCCGATTTTAAGTGAAATGGACACAAAGCGTCTGTCATAGAAGAATTATAGTCTTTTTTCGGGGAGATCGTTCAAAACTTAAAGAAAATTTTTAACAAAATTTGGAATTAATCTATTTTTGCGACCCTTTTTATTACCCCTACCCTCCTGTCTTTACTCCCTATCCTATTTTTTCTCTACATTTTTTGTGGTGGGGGGGGTAGTAGGGGGAAAGAGGTTTTGCAGGGGATTTTTGCAAAGTAAAGTCATGTAGATTTGGGTTCTAGAGGAAAAATTCCAATACCTACCCCTGCGGTATATTTGTGAATGATCTAATTTTGCATTGCCCGAATTGTCAGTGAACCCTCTGAGGATTCTTTTCTTTTCCTCCAAATGTTGTACATGAGGTCAAACCTTGACCATACTATGCGCAATACATGAATGGTGACATGATTTACGCATATACCCTGCGTTCACCCGATAAATCAATCAAACATCGATTTGTGAAGTAAACCTGTTATCATCTTTAAAGTTGACAGTAGTGTCATGGGGTTATCGTGTTGACAAAAATATCAAAATTTTATTACAAATGCGTAAACGTAATGAAAAACAACGATAAAATTTGGATTGACAACACTTGACACACATAAAGCAAATACGATTTTGTGCCAAAATACAAACAGCGTAATTTTCCACAGACAGAAGGCCGGAACAGAACAAACAGCTATAAATAGACGGGGATACCCCGTGCAACCGATCAGTTAACACAAAGCGCACAGCTGAAGAAGTCAGGATTCCCTGGAGTAAACATTTCACTATAACAGCTGTGGAAGGGACTTTAAGTTTTTGGGGGTGGTGAGATATTTGGAGATTTTCAGTGGAGACTATACAGACACACGGACAAAGTGATTTTATCAGGTGTCCGTGATGACATACGATAGCGCCCTGAGACAGGTGGGGGAGTTCGGGACATACCAGCGGAGGGTATATGTCCTCCTGTGTCTCCCAATCATCACCAGCGCCATGCAGGTCATGGTGACCGTCTTCATCCTGGGGGTGCCTCAGCACAGGTGAGTTTCCCCTCCACCCCAACCCCGTCCCCCACATCCCCCACCCAGCACCACTCGTTACTGTAAGCTTCACGGTTTCTTAAAGCCTCCAATATGGACCCAAAACCGTATTCTTGTAATTCCTCTAGTCCCCACCCCACCCTATCCAAACCGCGTCAGCGTCAGTGTTACGATTTCTAAAAGCCCCAAAAAGCACTCGTAACCAGATTCTTGTAACGCCTATATAACCCACCCCCCTCCAAAAAATTAAAAAATAATTAAAATATTTCTAAAATGAAAAAAAAAAACAAAACAAAACAAAACCTAGGCAGATTTTTTTTAATTACAAAAAATTATTGCTGTCTATATGAATCTTAATATTTGGTTTAAAATCCATATTAAGACATGCAGTTTATAGAATTTGTTTAACAGCTGTTATTTTTTTCTGATAAGTAATGAAAATCCAAGCAGTATATAACATTATTATACCTGTACACGTACAAATGAACAGCGAAATGCAAAAAAAAAAAAAGAGAGAGAGAGAGAGAGAGAGAGAGAGAGAGAGAGAGAGAGAGAGAGAGAGAGAGAGAGAGAGAGAGGAGTCATTTTTCAGCCCTGCAAGGTCACCAACCCAACGCCTTTTCACCATTTTAATAATTGGACATTTCCAACGCAAAACCCGGTTTAAAAAGATCAATTCAGTTTTTAAATCTATCTTCACGACTTAAGTCACGAATTGAACAGCGAAATAGCGAAGTGATACTGGTTTTAATTAGGACATAAAATATCTATTCAGAAAATCAACATGTAGAAAAAGTTCTTATTCAGCTTTTTAATATCCTTGAACGCTAGGAAATCTTATTTATTGAAGGCTAACTGATAAACTTATAATCATGTAACAGATGTCAACGGTGGCCAGCAATCTATGCGATTGAGAGATTCGACCTATTTACAGTGCACCCAGGATATTAACCTAGTGTTATAGATACACGTGCTAGAGAGAGAGAGAGAGAGAGATGCACGTGTAGATTGTCCAAATTCTAGTGCACTTCAAGGCAATGTCCTGAGACAAAGGGAGAAAGGGCATATTAATTAGTGAATGACAATTTGTTGTAATTATTGTAAATAATAGGATGAGTAAGCCGACCTCCTCCTGCGGACTATGCAAGCACTCTAAATCTACAATATATCACCCAGATTACACGTGTAAATCAGCTAAGTTACAGATAGCGTAAGAATCAGAGAGCTCCTGGGACATTAACAAATAAGTGGCGAATTTTCATGTATCACTCCGCTGGCGGAATGCTATATAGTTGTATTTATCAGGTTTATAAATATAATCATTAAGTCGTAACTTACTTTTCAATTATTATGAACGTGAACATATTTTTGAAGCTATGTATTTTTTTAAACCTAAAATTAAGATAAAATTGTGAACCTTGACCGATTTTTAAGACATATACATGTAGATCTGCTAATATACACTGACATTTGTAGTAGCCTTCAGTGCAAGTGCACTCTTAGAGAATGCGTGTAGAGAATGTATATCTCCTTATTTTACTTTTTCACAAAATCTGGAAATTATCTATAAAATACTTCCGAATAGTAATTACTAACCATAATGTTAAAAATAAATACAATTGACGTCAACAGACTAGATTTCTTTGGGTTATTTTTTTTTTTCAAATTAATAAACAAGCATATTTCCGTTATAAAAATCAACACATTTTGTATTTCTTTGAATTAATTTCTTTTTAATTTCGGAAATATTATAGTTTTCTTAGTGCTAGATTTCTTAGGGTTATTTTTTTTTAAATTAATCAACGAGCATATTTCCGTTTTAAAAAATCAACAATTTTTGATCGTGTTTCTTTGAATTAATTTCTTTTTAATTTCGGAAATATTATAGTTTATATTGAGGAATTAAGCAAAACAGTTCAGATTTAGGAAGGGGGGATGCATACCCTATCAACTTTTATCTCTCTTCGCAAAATTCTGGAAACGTATAAATGTCGAAACGATGACGGTAGCATGGAATAAGATACGCTTCGTTTACGTAATAGACCTGCTACTACCACGGCCTAAATATGAATACAAGCATCCATGACCAGAAGGAAACATGCAACTCTATATATTCTCTTATATCAATTTTAACAACTTTTACTGTGTAACGTTCAAGCTACTAATATATAATTTCTTGAAAAAAAAAATTATGTTGAAAAAACGGAGAAAATAGAACTCAAACATTTCTTTTCTTTTTGATATTAGACATTTGAAGCCTGCAAAAATGTATGCTTCAATTCTAAGGAGGTTGACTCCTGATATTTAAAGTCTGAAACGTTTTTGTCAAGTATATTTTTAGTTTCTACTCACAAAGCTTAATTAAATATTAAAACAAAAAATAGTGGTCAATAATATGCTTTTTTTGGTACCACAGTACATTAAATACCCCGGTATGACCTTTTTACACTAAAAAGTGTATCTTCGTCAAAATAACATTTTCGACATTTTCCCTCCAATGTTTTTAGAAATTAAATCATGGAACCAAATAAACTAATATTAATTTTTAAATTAAAAAGAGACATTAAAATTGTGACGAAGAAAAAGTTCAAAATTTCTTTGCATTACTAATTATTTAACCTTTCTGCACTCACAAAATGTGATTTTCCTGGCATTTAAAATGCACGAACTTTCTTTTAAAGTCTTAAACTTTTGCTAAATTTAAGCAGATATATATGTCAAAGTTATTTTTAATATTCAATAAAAGAACTTCAAAATTGGGGGTATCTGATGTACATGTAAAGGACAAGGTAGGGTAATGGCCAAATCTGGCCCCTTATTTTATGGATATCTGATGTAAAGGACAAGGTAGGGTAACGGCCAAATCTGGCCCCTTATTTAATGTACATGTAAAAATCAGATCACTGGTAAAATTGTGATAGTTTTCAGTTGAGACCTTGAAATGATGCTTGCTTTAAAACTTGCACTTATTTGGATTCAAAGGTTTAATGGAAGCCACAAGAGGGTGCAGAAGTTGGACAATTTCTCGAATTTCCTCAAATCTGGTAGAATTCCATCATATTTGAGATACCCTTTTCTCTTTGGAAAAACATAGAGCACAAGGTTGCCTATCCAAGATTTTTACATATAAAATGTATAAATTTGGTAGATAGACAAGCTTGTGCTTTATGTTTTCCGAAGCAAAATGTGCTGTACAATGGATCACAATTTGCATAAAATGACTTCTCTGTGACCTCTGTGTATTTCAAAACTAAGAACCAACACTCATTTTGTGGCAGGGATGACAACAGGTTTTTATGGATAAATTGTTACATCATTCTGAAAGACACCCAAAGTTAGGGGCAAAAATGGGGTCTTAGCCTATCTTGTTCTCTTTAGATATACTAGTATTGCATGCTAAAAAGGTGTCAATTTTATGTTAAAATTGGCTCTATATTTTCCTGGACTTTCAGAATACATTAACAATATTTGTCACGATTCGTTGAAAGAATTCATAAAAAAAGTAATTTCTCAGACATTTCAGAACTGCAAAAGAAAAACAACGTTTCACTGCAAAAAAACACTTCTATGTGCAACCAACATGGAAAATAGTAATCTAAACTTAACAGTACTATATATATTTGAAAAGAGAAAAATTGATCATTTTCCTCTTAAAAAAACCCTTCAGCCACAAAATTTAGTTCCTGGCTTAATCCTACATGTATCTGAATGGAATTTAATCGCATTTTTTAATATATTGAATATAGTTCAATTTGCATTGTAGAATCCATATTTAGTGTTAAAACTTTTAATTACAGAATTTAGAAATAAAGGTAAGGAATCTGCTCAAAAGGCTCAGAAACGAACCTCCTTAAGCCTGTACAATTTTCACCTCAATGTTTTCCTGCAAAAAAATTAAAATAAAATATCACAAACGATATACCATAATTATTACATTATAACAGTTACAGAACAATAATTATTAAGGAATTCTTGTCTGATATTAATATTATTTACTCTTTAGGTGTTCAATCTCAGAAAACGATACCTACAAGATACAGGGCACTGGGCACGAAACGATGATCAACCGCAGTGTACCGCCGTCCGCATTATCTCTGTCGTCACCTTACTCCCAGTGCGATTTATACAGTTACCATAGCGACAACCAATCAAGTATCGAGGATTCCAGCTTCATGCGGAAGTGTTCGAAGTGGGTCTACGACAAGACGGATTTTCTGAGTACTTTTGTGACTGAGGTTTGTAAAAAAATAAAATACCATACATGTATAACGTAATTACCTAGTACTTTTAACAAATCAGCAGTCTACTTTTCAAAGTTGAAAAACGTACATTTATTGAAATTTAGTCCCTAATCCCACCCTCTCTCTCATTAATCTGTTTTCGAATTATTAAATCCTTTTCAGATAGTAACAATATTTCTAGTAAGATTCTGCAAAATTGTATAACTTAAATTATTATACAAGGCAAAATTGTAAATTACACAAATCAAAAGTTCGGAATATAGTGCATGTAACGTTTCACATGCCCTAGTTTGGTAACAGGCCATAATCCTAAAGAATTAAGATTTTTTAATTAATTCAGTATTTATTACATTTAATTTTTAGATCGATCTCGTATGTCACAAAAAGTCCTACGTCACCCACACAGTGATGTCATTTATGGCGGGGTTCATGGTTGGAGCATTCGTGTCTGGTATTGTCGCTGATGCGTAAGTTTTTTTTTTAATTTTCTTTCGTTTCTGGAATTTAAAAAAAATATTAAAATCAACAATAGCAACAACTATATAGCAAAACGAAAGTCATAGTCCCTGTCGTGTATTTATTATTCTTTTGCAATTTCTTTAATGTTGTATTACTATATGTTATCAAATAAACCACCACCCCAATAAAAAATGGCTATAAAAATGGAGTCGAGCGAGCAGCAACACTTTAACAAAACAAAAAGCATAACCCTGTGGTGTGTATTTATATGTTTCTGCATTTTCTCTTATATGGCCTTCTATATATAAGTTTACATGTAATAAAATGAAAACACCTTGTCACCTTGATGCAAAATCAGGTTAATGTGTAAGCAGAAAAATGACCCGGATATAGATACATACTTTCCTTCAAAGCAATCACTCTAATGTTTTATCTGTGTACGTACTCACATGAGGTTATAAATGAATACGTTTATTTAACATGAGGTACAAATGTTGATTCAACTCTTTATCAGTGTCAAGAAAATTTGGCCACTCAGCACAATTTATAATGTTACGTATACATATAAATTCTCCGTGTACACGTGCCAGGCATGCGCTTTAAACATATGTCAAAGAGGACGTGCACTGTAGATTTTTGCTGACAGCATGTAACCCGGTTTAATTCATAAAAGAGCTTCTTGTGAAGACAAAATCTTCAAGCGAGGATTTTTCACTATGTATATATTTACAATTTAATATGCATTGAAATCAGCTGTTCATGACATTGTACAATTAAATAAACAAGAACCGGTTTAAATATGTAATTAACTCCAAGGAATCTCATGTGTAGAAAATGCTGACCTCAAGAAATAATGACGTCATGAAACTAAATGGCGACAGCGCCGGGTGATGATATGTTATTTTTTTATTTTACGATAATTCGATAGACTACATAGTATTAACTTTATCACATCAGTCCGCGAACTTTTCGAACAACCCTCATAGACAGTTAACGTAACTACAGGAGTCCCTTCAAACAATTCACACTAGTAGTTCTGTTATCAAAGTCAAGCGGAAAGTGTTGAACCTCGGAATTTGGTCCGCTCTAATGCGACCGTGACATTTTCATTGTGCAAGTTAGTTGATAGTCCTGTGAATAATTTTGACCTCATTCTGACCTAACTCACATTACAATCCCTTTCTGGTCTTGCCAGCAATGACTTTTTTTGTAGATTTGGGCGAAAGAAAGGTCTACTGTTGAGCCTTGCTTTGCACATCATTCCTAACATCGTCGTCACCTTTGTCAGTGACCTTTTGACCTTTATGTGCCTGCGTTTCCTGTCGGGGGCATCAGTTGGAGGTCTCTTGGCTGTGTCCTTTACTATGAGTAAGTTATTTCTGTTTAACTCTAATATTAATCAAATAGTCCAGTTTTTGTGACTAGGACTTTATATAAGTTGATTTTTTGCAATACCCCGGTATTTTGAACAAAGAAGCAATTGTTTATAAAAGGGTGAAAAATGAATAATGAGTATGTAACGAGTTCGAGTATGTTTTCTTTTAAATGTTGTTTTCTGAATGAAAAATTTATCTAAAATTTACGAAAACGCATTTCAAAACATGGACGCCATTATAACATTAAAATGCTGATCAAAATTTCTGTTTTATCAAGTTGTTCACATTGTAAAGAAGATGGTTATCATTTTGGTCGGACATTAATATTTAGATATCTTATTTTCTGTAAACATTTTATATAATAGACAATATTTTCTAACAATATTATAGTAATGGAATTGGTAGGCCCGTCATATCGAATGATGTCCGGGATCGCATTGGAGTTTTTCTGGGCGTTTGGCGCTGTGGTTCTTGCGCTGCTTGCATACTTGATCAGGGAATGGCGCTACCTTAACCTGGCCGTGTCTGTCCCCGCCTTACTATTTATACCTTATATATGGTGAGTAGATATCTCCTTTTTTAAATAAATGATGGACAAGGATGGGGGCAGGTCCATACAGATGAGTTATAAAAATTAAAACAAAATGAAACGTACCCCGGTATGTGTAAACAAGGGTGAAGCTCACATAGGAGCTGAAGGAATATATACGTAACAAGTTTATCTTTCAAAAAAGATAATTGAGCTAGCGCCGTAGCAATTTTTAAACACAGGAAGGAGGATCCGTGATCAAGTAATTTATTTTGCTGAATTCTTTGATTTTTATCGAGGCTGGAGAGTGATAAAGTTATAATTTTTTTGTGAAGTGTATTTAATAGACATATAGGTAATGAAAAGAGGGGAGAAAATACAGGGGAGTTAAAAGGAATATAGAATATAAATCAAAAGTATGATGTATAAAGAAATCCAGAGAGTTCCGAATGTGAAGAGTGTGAAGCAGCTTGGTCCTTTAATTAGGTCATCTTTGTCAAGAAATGTTAGGTGAAAAGCCATACACATCAGAATTTATTTTTATAAAGAATGGATTTATTCGTTCTTTTTAATGTTAATTCTTGTTTCTGGACTTTGTAAGATTGGCTGAATTGACTAAACAGAAACTAGAGTCTACTTAGACGCAGAAAAACCTCCCTCCCTGTTCTTTGTTTAGAACAATCAGATAATGACTCGGGCTTTTCCGTCAGAAAAAAAAAACACGGAAAATTTGAAGTGTTACAAATATATAATTAAAAGTGTTACACAATAAATAAACATGGTTATTTATCAATTACAACGAAATTATTAATATATAGTAGTTTTCACATTTTCCCAGAATGCACGACCGTGAAGCATGCGTATTCAAGGAACTTGGACTAACGTAGTTGCTACCGCTCGGAGCGCTAGCAACAAGAAAAGATGAAAATTACAATTTAATCAACTCATAATATTGAGTTATATGTTTTCTTGAATGCAGATATTTTTTTACTATGAAAAATATAGATCCTCTACGAAACTAAGGTTATAAATATGAACACCCATTTAACTGTTCCAGTAACTGATTTCTGTTTCTTTTTCTTTTTAAGCATTATCCCAGAATCCTCTAGATGGCTGTTAACTAAAGGAAGAGAGAAAGAAGCCGAGGATATTCTCCGCCATGCAGCTCGTGTTAATAACCGGAAACTTCCCGAAAAACTCTTTGACTATAATGAAAAGTTCGAAAACGACCGATGCATTCCGGTGTGGCAACTGTGTGTAACGCCAAAACTTCTTTTCAGATCTGTGATTATATTTTTTAATTGGTAAGTAACAGCAATTTATAGTAAAATAGGACAGGTCAATATATACAGAGAATGTGATCTAATCTGCTGAAAGGCAAATGTCAGAACAAAATCCCTTAAAAGTTTATCGTATTTACTGCCTTGTAAATTTTGAGATGGTCAATCTCTTCAGAAGTAAAACATGCAGAAATGTAGAGTTTCTTTATATTACTTTTTAGATCACCTGTGGCACTCGTCTAAGTACATACATTTGAGGTTATAATGAGCAAGAGTACCTCTTCAAAAGTTGTGAATTTTATGGCCGTGGGTCAGGGGTTCTCAGGTGTTAGGGTGGGGCTTTATTGATTATATAGTGGAAATGCATTATTTCTTTGAATATCTTCTTCTCTGCTCCTGGGTATTAAATAAACTAACTTAGTACAAAGTTATGATGAACAAGGGTGTCTCTACCAAAATTGTGAATTTTATGGCCCCAGGTTCCGAGGTTCTGGTGTTAGGGTGGGGCTATATTGATTATATAGTGAAAATGCATTAATTTTTTGAAAACCCTCTTCTCTGCTCCAGGGTATTAAACGAATTAACATATATAGTTATGATGAACAAAAGTGCCTCTTCCAAAATTTTGAATTTTATGGTCCATTGTCAGGGGTTCTGGTTTTAGGGCGTGGCTCTAGTGATTATATAGTGAAAATGAATTAATTCTTTGAAAGTCTTCTTCTCTGCTCCTAGGTATTAAAAAAATTAACTAAGTACAAAGTTATGATGAGCAAGAGTGCCTCCTTCATAATTGTGAATTTTATGGCCCCAGGGTCAGGGCCTCTGGTGTTAGGACAGTGCTATATTGATTAAAATGTGGAAATGCATTAAATCTTTGAAAATTTTCTTCTCTGCTCTTGGGTATTAAGCAGATAAACTACCTTTATATAGTTATGAAGAGTAAGGGCCCTTCTTTCAGAATTGGGAACATCATTGCAAGGGTCAGGCATACCATAGAGGGGGTGGGGTGTGGGTGGGCTCTACTTATATACTGAAAATGAATTAATTGTTTGAAATCTCTCCTTGGTATTAATCAAACATTTTTGATAAGCAAGGGTGCCTTTTCAAAAATTGTGCAATGTGTGGATCTAGGGTCAGGAGTTCATGTGTGGTAGGGGCACTACTGATTATTGCTGAATATTACTGATTAGTTGAAATGCATTTTTGTTCCCTTACCCTGCCTATGGGTATTAAGTAACCAAACTAAACATGCTAAGTGTATAGTTATGATGAGCAATGGTGCCTCTTTCAAAATTGTAAATGCCATAGCATCTAGCTTAAACATGAATTCAATCACTGGAAAGTTGTTGCATGATGCTCAGGTGACCTATAAGGCCTCTAGGCATCTTGTTATGGTATTATATGCGTAAGAAAAAAGGCTGATCAGTCAAGGCAGTGATTTAGCGATGATTTTTATTACAATGACGATATTACATGCGTGAAAGTATCTTTAAACAGGATGGTTGTCAGCATGTTATTCTTTGGCCTCTCTTTGAATGTCGGAAACCTTGGTGGCGACATCTACGTAAACTTCTTGCTAACAAGTCTGGCTGAAGTCGTGGGGTACTCGATTCCTCTGGTAGCTCTCAAGTGTCTAGGTAGAAAACCAGTTTACGTTAGTGCTCTCCTTGTCGGTGGTGTTGCGTGTATTTTGACCATATTCCCCGTCCTGTATGGCGATGCTAGTGAGTACATCAAATTGATAAGCAAACATTTTAACACCAAAGTTTAGTGAAACTTACAATGCATTTTTAATAACAAGAATGATGCAGAACATTTTATTTGCAATTGATTTTTGTTCATTTTGGATTCTGGAATTGCTAGTAAAAAATAGCCATCCCTTCCCTCCCGATTTTAAAAGTTTACCGTGATATTGTGATCACTTTACAGGCGTGCAGTGGAGCGTTGTGGGTCTGTCTGTTATAGGAAAGATCGGGGCCTCAACTGCGTTTGCCACTATCTACCTCTTCTCTGCTGAACTTTTTCCTACCGTTGTCCGTAATTCTGCCATGGGAGTTAGTTCGCTGTGCGCTCGAATCGGGGGAATGATATCGCCATACATCGCTGTTATTGTGAGTATATGATTGTACACATATTATGGTGATTATACTTTACATATTTGTTACTTTTTTGTCGCCGTATATTTATTATAATTGAAAGGACGTGTAGTGTAATTATAGATATTTTGCCAATATGTGTTATTGTATATCGCTATGTACAGCTGTAAGTTAAAGTATAAATAAAAATGTTGCGAAATACAACTTACATCATATCAGCATTTGTAGCTATTTTTAAGAACATGAACATAAAATATTAAGCTGTTATGGGTACTAAAAATTAATTCTTCAATAATTTTGACTTTCCAAATGCTGTTCAACCATTTTGCTTATACGGTCATGTGATCATGTGATTCAATCTGAATTTTCTCCAAATATTATTCCTCTAAATTCCTAATAACTTTGTGGCACGACTAACAATTAACAAAACTGATATACGTGCCTGTAGAAATAAAAAATAACTAGCCTCACCTTTATTCATTCTCTCTCTCCTTCTAGAATGAAGTTATAGGCGGAGATTTGGGAGTCGCCATGCCGCTAGTTGTGTTCGGCTTGTTTGCCTTTGTATCTGGATTGTTAGCGTTGGCACTTCCGGAAACTAAAGGGCGCCACCTACCGGAATCTATAAAAGACTCAATTCAGTACACAAAGTAAGTGCCTTAATTCTTGTGACCAGGATTGTAGCTGTTATTTACTGGAATGATAATTTATATGTAAATTACATATGTCATGTAATGATTGTTTTCTTATTGCAGTCAAACAGTAATAGTGGAACCCAGTGACGGAATTGACGCGTCACAACCTTTGACCCGTGATTTAATGACGGCACCAGAAGGCGTAGTAACTATAAAAGATAAAAAGTAGAAAAGGAATCTCATTTTAAAGTTATCTTTTGTCCGAAATCATGAATGTATTCTTTATAAACAGTATGATGCCACTTGCTGTGTGATACACGTACGAGTTTTGATTCGTTATGGTCGGAACTCGATCTTTAACTGGATCTTTCTACATGTGTATATAGTGTGCCAACATTGGGAAAAAATGTGGAAATTTATCTGATCTGTTGGTACAGATTGGAAACAGATAGTTTCCAATATAGCACTATGTTTTGTTGGTGCATACTGTAATAATTTAATTGCAACTGATTCATCTGGATAGAGCAATACGCTGCCTTAATAAGTGAATAAGAAAAGCCTCTTTATTATCGTTAGCGTTGGCAAGCTGAATTTTAGTTTTATAGCTCACCTAAGCCAAACCTTTTCTGATTAAAAGTCCGTTGTCTGTCGTCATTGTCGTAAACATTTCCTATTTCCATCTTCTCAAGAACTTCTGTGCCAGTTTCAACCAAACTTGGTATAGAGTATCCTCGGGTAAAGATAACTCAAGTCTATGCTAATGATGGGCCACAGCCTTCTTCCAAGGAGAGGTAATCACAATTCAGTGAAAAATAAATTCTGTCTTTAAAAAATCTGTTTCTCAAGAACCACAGATGCAGGAAAGATTTACTTAAAAATATATAGGAAAAATCTTCGTCTCAATAACAGCAAAGCCATGACTGGCCATGGTTATATGGAAGCATTCTCAGGTAGTGTAGATTCAAATTTTGTTCAAATCATGACTCCCGGGTGAAGGCTGGGGCCACAAAAGACGATCCCAGTTTTACATAAGAAGATTTAGGGAAAATCTTATAAAATATTCGTCTCAAAAAAATAGTAAAATCATAATTGGTCATACTTATAGAAAGCATCTTCAGGTAGATTCAAATTAAATTTGTTAAATCATGCCCCCATGCGGTATTGCTGGTTCTCAAGAACAGCAAAGCCATAATTGGTCATATTTATATTGAAGCATCCTTAGGTTGTTTAGATAGATTTGTTCAAATCATGGCCGGGGATGGGTTAGATGATTGGTGGTGGGGGGAGGGGGGACAAAACGTAAGTTCAAACTTAAAGGGTAAAATCCTCGTGCAAAGTTAGTCAAAAAATATCCAAACATCATTAGCTAGTGTTTATAAAGTTTGATAAAATCACACTCACTCCCATCTAGGGGTAGGTTGGGACCACTAATGGATTTAAACTTTTCAATACTGAACTGATTTCTCCTTTTATTCTAGCCACATGCAGTGCTCAGGTGAGCGATGTGGCCCTTTGGTCTCTCTTATGTTAGCTTTACCTGTCAGAGATCAGCTAATGCGACAGTAAGGTATCCGTCGTCTGTCTGTCTGCCTGTCTATCTTCTGTTTGTCTTCTGTCTGTATGTGTTCAATAACAGTTTTCAAAACCCTACGCCTCCTACAGTTTAACTTCAATTTAATTTAGCATACAAGTAGACTTATTCTTTATATCAAGTTTTGATGACCGATTTTGCTGTTGAAATTATAATGTAAAAATGTGCAATGTTTTGAATTTTGTCTGATTTTTAATATGATTTGACGTAGAAGAAGACCGATTAATTATTAGATTAATTTCAATAAAATAAAAAAAAGTAGACTTAAAAGAAAACATTCTTATTATTGATTTTTGTTTTAAATTTTGCTAAGTGTTCTTGTCATGGTTACATGTGCTTAAAATAGAAGTTTTCTGAAATTCTTTCAAAACATCAACTTCACGTTGATAGTTATCATTTTGTTAATGTTTTTTTTTCCGATGAAAGGCCTTTGAACATCTACCAAAAACTTTTTTTTATTTGTTTCTTTAAAACTAAAAAAAAAACAAAAACAAAAAAAAAACAAAAAAAAACAAAAAAAAAAACAAACAAACAAACAAACAAAAAAAGAAAGAAAAAAGTATTCCTCAAACAGTATTATTCTTATTGTAGAAATCTTGGACTAGAGGAAATGAAATCAAACCATCAATCCATATAATGCGACCGTTGAATAGTCCAAGTCAGATTGCTACACACTTTTCTCTTCATTTGAAATATGAATACAAAGCAGTAGAGCTACAGTCTCGTTCGAGTCTTTAAACGTATTTTGCTTGTTTGAATGAAATGCATGAGGTTGGGCCTAAACTGTTTTTCACATATTATATTTAATTATAAATATTCATTGATTTTGATTCGTTCCGCACTTCCAAGTGCATGTACGATAATTAACTATTTCACATATTGTAAATTAATTTTTTTTTAACTTTTAATTCCTGTTTACTAAAAAATTAAGAGTAATTGAAAAAAATTGCCCAAATTATTTCATTTTACGGTATATTGCTATATAAAAAATAATGCATTAAATTTATTAAGGGTTATTTCCCTTATATTGTCCTGAGAAGTCTGAACATGTTATATACTCTCTCCCTCGTTAGATCCCAACAGGCTTCTCTCCATTACACTGTTGAGTGTAAACCATGGGGTTCAAACGATGCTCTCTCTCTCCTCTCTTTGTCTCTCTCTGTCTTTCTCTCTGTGAGAGAGTGTGTGTATTTCTTGTAAAACATTGAGATGTGTATTTTTTTATATTAAACATGCTTAGCTAACTGTGTTGAAGTTATTTATTACATATCGAACATTGCGTTTCATGTTTAATATAATATTATTTGTGATGTGACGTTACCCATCGAAGCTAAGAATAGTTATGCAATTTGTGATAGAAATCATGCAGGATGCGTAAAAGAACAGAATAAATCATATCTTGTATATTGCAATCGCTAGCTTATCAGATTTTCTTTCCTTTAAATACATGTAAAAGATGCATAAATACGTTTTCGAACAGAAGAACGTCATGTTAATACTGTGAAATTTACTTTTTTGTGTAGGTTTAATATTTGTTCTCTTTTAAGTGTGAAAATCCCACGAATTCATGATCGCCACGATATATAAAATCCACGAAATTAAATCTCAACGAACCAATCCTTTTTAATCCACGAAAATTTGAGATCACGAATATTTATAACTTTGCATTATATTCTTAAGCTTATAATTTTGGGAAACAAAATCAATGACTGTAAAATTCCATAATGTAATAGGTGAAGATGACGAATACCATTTCTACAACAATGAAAAAAAAAACAATGGATGTTAAGTGCGTGAATTATAGATCTGAGATGAAAGTCAAATATTGTCACGGGTTCATATGCGTAATTACAACTGACCAATTCATAAGCCCAAAACAATAATATTAAAGCTGCAAAAATTGAAAAAGTTATTTTATAACTGAAGTCCCCGTTCTCTCAACTTTATGGGAAAAAAATCCAAATGATCACGAGTGAAGTTTTGAGATAATTTGGAAAACGTGTAAGAAAAAAACAAAGACGTGAAGATTACAATGAAAATTAAACAAAAATCGATCCTACCTCTTATATTTTAAAGGTTCTTAATGGCTCTACTCCAAATTTGTATTGTTTAAAGGGCTTTTGTGTTCTAACACTGTTCGTTACCCCCATATACATGAACAAAACATATTTTGAACAGGGAAAATATTGAAAAAAAAGAATATTAATTTGTCTGTACCTGCAAAAAGTATAAAATGACAATTTAACATGCTGTATCAATTAGGGAAATGTAGTTTTAATTAAAACGTCATTTTCATATTTAAGTTTTGTAATTGATATTTTATTTATTTTTTAAATATATTTTTCATTAAATGAAATATGGAGATAACGAACAGTGATCAAGTTTAACGTCCATTTGAAAGAAGCAAATCAGGAGCAGAGCAAATACGGACCTTCAAAAACATGAGAGGTATAGGATCAGATGACAAGAGGGAGTGAGCATCTCCTGTCGATTTGGTACACCTGTCGCATTTGCTTATTGTCTTCTCTGGGAAAAACGGGAAAAATCTGCAGAACTTCTAAAGAGTGTAAATAATGTACATGTACAATTAGTAATAATGCAATAAGTGTTAAGCCGACTCATATAAGTCACCTTCTGACTAAATAAAAAAATGTATTTGCTTGTACATGTATAGACCAAGGAATGTCCGAAATGAAAACTTAACATCATTTTTTTAAGCTTGCTTTTTAAAAAAAAATATAAGTGATTGTATGCACAACTTGGTTGCATAATGAATCAAATGGGAAACATATTCATAATTATGCAGATAAAAAGGTTATATTGCTACATACGTAAAAAAACTGACCGTGAAAAACGTTTATCACAGATTCCCTTATGGCTTTTTTTCCAAGTCAAATATTTCAGTACAAAACAGATAGGAATGGAGACCATAATCAGTATTCAACCTCAAAGTCCATTTTAAGAATACAAAATGGGAGTAGATCAAACAAGGCCTTTCAAAAGCATCAGAAGTGGGCTCAGGTTGTATAAAGGAGAGAGCTTCTCCAGCCGATAACATCTGCCGTGTGCTCTTGTCGTATAGTGATGAAGTTGTGTCTTTTCTGTCAGCGGTAGCTTTATTTGAAGTTGAACCTTAGTATGATTAACTTTTAGAAGAATTGTTTTCATTAATAATATTGTTCTGTTAAAGAATTTACAGAAAGACATAAAAGATACAACAACGAAAGCATCAGACTTGTACTACGTAACATCATTAAATGAATTTGAACAGGAATAAAGGTGCACTACAGCAATTCTATTGATGTTTTAATACATAATTCTTGGTTTTTAATTGCCTGCGGGCCTTTGACATCCGATTATCTGGGGGTATAGTGTAGAGATATGTAGATAATGAGTAATGAATGGGACGGAGGTCATTTTAAATTGAATAGTACCCCATGCCGAGTTGATGTACTCTAAACTACGCATTATCAGCAATCATTCTAAAAAGAGGAAAAAATAGAGAAATTAGATGCATTTCGTATACTCGTCAGAGGAACCCTATACATGTTATATAATTCATCACCCAAGCAATTCATATATATTAATATTTGGTAAGTTTATTCGCTGATTTGGTTGTAAACATATCATTATGTGCTCATCAAATTCTCAGACAACTATACTAGGGTCATCAATCAAAATAACACTTAAAAAGATGTTTAATTTTACAGTGAATACATTTTATTCTATGTGTTCTACCACATGTGCTATATGGGTGTATTTACCCTGACAGAGGATCGGGTATCACAAAAAAACTCCCTCGTCATAATGCAGTCAACTAATTTCCGTTACTCTTCATGTTGGTTGTAAACGCTTTTCCGCTGTCAATCAAAAATACTTTTCATTTGCGACTAAGGAATGGCAGAACTGAAAAAAGCAAACGTTTGTCAAATTGCATCTGGTGCATAAACATCCCTACCTTATATGATTTATATAGTGAAAATGCATTAATTCTTTGAAAATCTTCTTTGCTCCTGGGTATTAAATAGACTAATCAAGTACATAGATATGATGAACAAGAGTGCCTCTTCTTAAATTGTGAATTTAATGGCCCCAGGGTCAGATGTTCTGGTGTAAGGGCGGGGCTATATTGATTATATAGTGAAAATGCATTAATTCTTTGAAAACCCTCTTCTCTGCTCCAGGGTATTGAATAAATTAACTAAGTACATAGTTATGATGAACAAAGGTGCCTCTTTGAAGATTTAGAATTTTATGGCCCCATGGTCAGGGGTTCTGGTTTTAGGGTGTGGCTCTACTGATTATATAGTGAAAATTGAAAATCTTCTCTGCTCCTGGGTTTTAAATAATTTAACTAACCAAATACATAGTTATAATGAACAAGAGTGTCTCTTCACAAATTGTGAATTTTATGGCCTAAGGGTCAGGGGTTCTGGTGTTAGGCGGGGCTATATTAATTATATAGTGAAAATACATTAATTCTTTGAAAATCTACTTCTCTGCTTCTAGGTATTAAATAGATTAACTAAGTACAAAGTTATGATGAGCAAAAGTGCCTCCGTCATAATTGTGAATTTTATGGCCCCATGGTCAGGGTCTCTGGTGTTAGGGCAGTGCTCTATTGATTAAAAAATGAAAATGCATTAAATCTTTGAAAATATTCTTCTCTGCTCCTGGGTATTAAGCAGATGAACAACCTATATAGTTATGATGAGCAAGAGCCTTTCTTTCAGAATTGTGAATTTCAAAGCAAAGGGTCAGGCGTACCATAGAGGGGGATGGGGCTCTACATATATACTGAAAATGAATTAATTGTTTGAAATCTGCTCCTTGGTATTGATGAAACTTTTTTGATAAGCAAGGGTGCCTTTTCAAAAATTGTGCAATATGTGGATCTAGGGCCAGGAGTTCATGTGTGGTAGGGGCACTTCTGATTATTGCTGAATATTACTGATTAGTTGAAGTGCATTTTTGCTCCCTTACCCTGCCTATGAGTATTAAGTAACCAAATTAAGCAATTGTTAAGTGTATAGTTATGATGAGCAATGGGGCCTCTTTCAAAATTGTAAATGCCATAGCATCTAGCTTAAACATGAATTCAATCAGTGGAAAGTTGTTGCATGATGCTCAGAAGATATATAAGGCCTCTGGGCCTCTTGTTATGGTATTATATGCATAAGAAAAAAGGCTAATCAGTCAAGGCAGTAATTTAGCGATGATTTTTATTAC